TTCGCCCCTCTCACCTTCGCATCCATGTCTGGCCCGCTGAGCGTCGCGACCGGCCTGGCTCTCCCAAACTTCGGATGGTTCGACAGGATTACCGAGAGCAGCTTCCACGCTGGCGGTCACTGGGCTGTCGGTGGACTCTACGGAACCATGACTGACAAGTGGGCAAGCCGTAAGTAACCCTGAGCATTTCTCATTCTATCATTACGAGGGTCGTATGCATGGGACTGACATTCGGAACTAGCCGCCGACCCCATCTTCTGGTCTCACCACGCCAACCTCGACCGTGCCTGGTGGTCGTGGCAGAAGCGCAATCTCAGGAAGCGCCTGACCGACGTCTCTGGCCCCCTGGTCAACTTTGACTGGACCAACCAGCTGGGCGGCAACATCACCCTTGACCATACCATTACTGTTGGCGAGACGGTCAAGCTGCAGGCCAAGGTCCGTGATGTGATGCATATTCAGGAGGGGCCTCTGTGCTATGAATACGATAAGCTGTACTAGATAATCCGTGTCCTTCATTAAGAGGAGTAGCATAATAGAATGAAGGATTTGGTGAATAATCTTGGCTAGTGACATCGTGAGAAAATGATAGTCCTCCTCATTGACCTTCTCTCATTGAAACTCTTCGGATGTAGAGCCTCCGAGTTGAACGTCTTGATAAGGCTGTGTATATCGGTACCGAACGACCCGGATCTGCATGCGGTAAGAGAAAAGGAGACATGATCATCGTGTCTCTCGGCTTGGGCATCGAGTCCTAGAGTCTGGCTATGTAGGCCAGCCCCCCCTTTGACCGGGGTGATAGGCTCCCTGGGAATGACATGATGCATACATCTAGTAGTTCAGGCGAGCCTTGTTAGGGTACCGTGGAGACATGCCATGGTATCCCTTACCCCTGGTCTGCAGCTTTGACATGGAGGACCGAGCTGGCGGAGATGAAGACAGCAACTAGGGCACAGTTTCAGGTTCATGACATTGCTTTGGTGAATAACAGAGTTAAAGACCGGTCTAGACCGTATGATTGTGTTGGATCTAATGAGGGAGATTGTTTTTCATATGGTCTATTATGCCTTATCGAAGCGAGTATTCGGCTTTTCCCGCGCGGTTAGGAGCGTTGAGGTTTTTGCGATATCGGCTTAGCCATATACGTTAATAGATGTACCACTAGTTAGCCAAAAGTTGAGCCACCAAGGTCTTAGCAGCGTCATGACCGAGCTCAATATGGTCTTGGTTGTGGCTTCTAGCGTGCTGTTTGATAGATGAGAGAGGAGATACTTTGATTTCGTCACGTAGGGGCATCATGATATCACTGGGGCTGTCTATTTGAATACTGGGACTCTCAACTGCCGTTGGACAGACTTACAACTGCCCATTTACCGCTCCAGCACCATTTTCGGGCGCCAGAATCGCCCCCGCCGTCCTCGGTGGCCCTCAGCTCCTCGTCTGTTCCTGGCTTGAGGCCAACTACCACATCAGCCTTGCAAGTTCGCAATGCGAGGACATTCACGCCAGATCCTGGGCCGAGCGAGCCAATGGCGGTTGAGAACGAAGTTGTGGGATCCCACTTGGCCTGTTACAACAGTTAGCACAAGAGCAAGGAATAAATAATTGGGGTGGAAATGAAGCACGTACGTCGGCAACTAGCTTTCGATAATTCAAATCACCCTTGAAAATGACAAGTTTCGAGGCCTTGAGATCCTCGTACAGCGCCTTCTCCTCGTGAGGCAGCCTCCAGAAACTTCCTGCAGCAGTCCAGTAGCGGTTAGGGCGGATGAGCAGCTCGCCCTCGGCGTGGTGTGTCGCCCAATCCTGGAACAGGAACAGCAGGTCTTGGACTTCCTTGTCAGCAAGGGGCGCAGGAGTCTTGTCCTGGAAGCTCTCCTCTTCGGACTGAGTTTCAAAGAAGCCTCGAGGGTTGGAGATGGCGTTGAGGAGGGCAGCGAAATCGGCGGGCATGACGTCGGATACGAACCAGGGGATGGACTTGGGGTGGAGGACGACACGAGTGGCGAGCCCGGAGGCAAGAAGGTATCCCGCGAGGATCAGATCAGCGTAGAGTTCAAAGCCGGCATTGTCGAGAACAAAGTCAACTTGGCGTTCCTTCTCGCCGGCATCTCGGGCCTTCTTGAGCAGCTCGTATGCTGCAGGGACATCGTTGGCGAGGATGTTCTCCTCAGCAGCCTTTCGAGCCTTGGCTCCTTGTAGTCGCTGTATATCATCGTGGGTAAGAGTCGTCAACAGGGACAGGTCGGTCGCGTTTCCCCAAAGACAGATGTCGAACATTTCAACAAAGAGAATCTTCTCGGCCTCCTCGTCATGAGCTATGCTGCTGTTGGAGCGAATTTGCTCTAGAAGTTCCTTGTATCGGGCCGCCAATTCGAGGACACCTGCTCGCGAGTCCCGGAGTCCCTTGATCTTTTGGCGAGCAAAGACATCATAGCTCTTCCAGTGTTCAGTAAGTCTGAAGATATTGTGGATTCGTCTAATTCGGGTTTGTTAGGTCGTCTGCTTCTCGACGTCGTTCGTTCGCTGGCCATGGGGCCGGCCGGCCGCGGTGGCACGGTCTAGGGAGGGTGTCTAGCTACCTGTACATGTAGCACTCGCTATACAGCCAGGGAACCTTTTGCCAAGTAGGGTTGCCCAGCTTCTCGAGCTCGATGTTGTATGCGGCGATTTCGTCGGGGAATCCGTCGTCGACAAGAGGTCTGCCCGGCGGGGGTTAGCTCGTCTGCCGTAGCCATAGAGCGGAAAAAATCGTACGTCATCTTGCGGTCGTGAAGCATCTCGTATTTGAGGGCACCCAGACTCTCAATTATCCTTTTGCCTTCGGCGAGCTTGTCGGCGTCCTCGACTTTGGACAGGGTTCGGTGGACATCGTCAATCGATTGGGTCTGCAACCAGGGGTCAGCGACGGGCGAGCAAGGACGGAATACTTAGGCTAGGAGCCGAAGAGGATTATGAGGCACGCACGATGATTACAGGCCATCGTCTCACGACGGTGACGCTGGCGAAAGAGGTTGGGTCTGAGGTGTTGTACTGGGCTGGATGGCGGGGTAGGGCAATCGTTAGCGGGGGGATTGGAGCGGCACAAGCTCGCAGGGAGCGACGTACGAGTCTCAGGATCGAACTCCATCTTGGGCAAGAGCTGCAACAGCTGTTGGGTCGGGGGATTTGGGATCGAGAGCCGTGAGGGGCGTGAGGGGAGGTTTGAGGATTTTCGGATGCGGCCTGCGACTTCGACGTGGATCAATTTCGTGATTCGGGGATAATCAGCTCGGGTTATTTTGGGCCGCAGATTATTTGGGCTCTAATTAGCGGATTAATTGATCGCCCCGGAGTTCAATGGGACTGCTCCTGCTTCAGGGGACTGCAGCAGTGGGTGCAGTGCTAAAGGTCCACTGTGGGCGCTGATCAGGTCCCTCCTCCGCCGGACTTTAGGCCTGGAGCGCCCCGGAATTGGTGATGGCTTCACTTGAGCACCCTTTGGCTCTGAGCATCTGCTTGCTACCCACCTCAGCTAGAGGTCATCCCATACCAAAGGCTCCTCGTCCCTCAGACTCCTCCAGTAGTTTGTAGTCACTATTGTGTCTTCGCACCCCTCCAGCATGCTCCTCTTCCACTTCCTGATAAACCCCTCGGTAAACTCCCAGCCTCGCGGATGCCAAGGATCCGACCACGCAATCACGCCGCAATCACCAGAACTGTCTCTGCCACGCCCAGAATTGCACAGGGCTCCGAAACAGTCTGTCATAAACTCCTCGAAGTCAAATGAGCCCTCTAGCATGATCGCGTTGTCTCTCATCCTGGCAAGCGGCAGAGTGTCGATCCAAGGCCCGTGAGGAATTCTTTGCTGGAGCGGCGTTAACTGCAGCGTCTCAGGAGGCTGTTGAGCCGGCTGGCGTGTGTCCCAGAGAATCACACGTTGGATTTCTGTTGGGACGCAGCTGCTGTCTGGAAAAGGCTGGATTATCAAGTTGCAGATGTAGAGGACGTGGATGTTGGTCAATATAGCGCGCAAGGCGTTGTATTGGACCAGCGGGATAAGGTGATCGCGGCTGATGGGGAACCGTGCTTTGAGCTCCTTGAGCCCGCGATTGGAACGCAAGTGTGCATAGATGGCTTGCCGTGTATTCAGACTCTGTTGCGCGGTGGTTTGGACCTGGTTCGAGACCGAGCTCTCAGGGGCGATCTGACAACCCGAGGACCCGGCTCCTGTGCGTGGCTTGCGTCTACGAGAAGCAAGTACATTATCAAGAAGATTTCCATCCTCTAGCGCCTTTCTCTTCCCTAAGAGCCGTTGGTCAGACGTGCCCTCAACCCGGTGCCTCTAGGTAGCTCACTTACGATGTGCCCTCACGTTGAGTCTGTTTTGAATCTTGCGCCGTTCGGCCCTCTCCTTCACACCGGACCAGTCATCATCAGGGCCACAGGCCTGCAAAATAGTTAGTAAATCGGATCTTTCCCAATGGATGGGTGAGTCATTGCCCCTGACAGTTCTGACGATTGATGGCTATTGCGCCATACGAGACGTACCTCAGTGAGGGATGAGTGAATTCGAATCACGTCGAATGAAGCCGACGGCAGCCCCCCATCCGCCAGGCCTTGTGCTCGTGGCTTCAAATCCGCCATCCGCTGCTTGTTGGCTTAGTACGGGGATGGAGATACACGATAATGCAGCGGTCGGGGGTGAAAGTGAAAAGTGTGAAGCTCGAAAGACGTGTCAGACCGTGTCGTCGTGCTTATTATGAATCGCTTACGCAGAGGCCATCTATTGCGGAGTTCATCATTTTACTCCGAACTCCGCCGCAAAAGAACGCCTAACACAAGCTCCATCGCCCATCACAGCCTGGGAACTTGGGAGATGATATAATTTACTAGCCTTGAGTAGAACGTCAAAAATCATAGCACATAACATCCCGGGAAATACAGCACTCATATAGTTGCCCGATATATCAACCACCGCCTCGATTATAGACAACTTGAAGGTTTTGACCTCTATCAGGCTATTTCTGCCCTTGCCTATATCCTAGAAATGGAGACTGTTCGTCGTCCAAGACTCCAATAGTCAATTCAGCTTCATCCTCCCAGTGTCCATATCCACCAAACCAACCCAGCGCAAAGGAGAGCTCCCGCAGGTCCTCATATATCTTGTTTGCCGGCGTAAGTTGCAAATCCTCCGCCAAATACTCTTTGATATTGGAATCGTGAAGCAGAGCATCCGTCAATGCAATACTATTGAAATCATCCGGTGCTACCCCCTTGAACTCCATGTCGATAAGCCAGCTACGTGTACCGTAATAACGGCGTAACGCGGCAGACACCAAAGCCCAGATATTAACACTGGCAACAATACAAAGTATTATCAGAATTGCGATAGTAACTGCCGTGTTCTGGACCAATCGAGTCCGGTCTGGGTCCAGGATTGTAGCCTTAACTTTGGGGAGCTCTCCGTGTTCTTTGGGAGCCACATTTGAGGTCTCGTTGATGTTGAACCTCTGCTCAACATTGACAAGCTGAGCACTGGCCATCGCGACATTAAAATGAAGAGCCTCCAGAATTTCAGATTCCTTATCTGGATTATCAAAGTCTTCGACCGCGATTGGGCCATATGGCTTTACGATAGCTTTGAACTGATCGCCAAATCTGTCGATCAACTCATTTATATAATGCTGCTGTGAAAACACGCCGAGGGAGGAAGGGGAGGAAGGGCCTTCTGGTAGGTTTCCATCAAATTGGGGAACGCTAAATGGCGGGCTCCAGGGTTTGGTACTTGAACGGTCGATTTTGGGAGGATCCGTATGGTTGATGGCGAGGTGTCCGTCAGTCCATGTGAGCTTGGTTTCCGCCATGACCTCGACCCAAGTGTAGTTGCATTTCCAAAGAGAAATGTACTCAAAGCCACCATCCTCGTTGCTTGATCCAACAGAGAAATTTCCCCACAAGTACGTTTGTACCCTAAACGGCTGATAACTTATCATTGGATCCGGCTTTTGGTTTTGGCTTTTTTTGCAGTTCTGAGCTTTAACAACAGGATTATCCAGGGACGCAAGAATGCCGGCGATGTATGACCGCTTGTCCCTCCAGGCCTTGCTACTTGAGTCGATCCAGTTGATTAATTGAGTTTCCGTGCCATCGCTGCAATTGAAGATCTCTATTGCTCGGATTCCGTAAATATAATCCGTACCTGTATTGACAGTATCAGAAACCAAGCTGTAATCATCGCGGGGAACTCGACCACATGTAGGCATTAACATCGCTGCTGGGATCCTGGCCGTGGCTGATATTCCAGACTTCCAATTGATTTCCGGGTTATTTATATCCAGAGAAGGAAACACCAGACCCTCGTAAGTGGATTCTGGATACGTGAAATTGGAAAAGGCTCTGGTGAGAATGAGGCTATCTAGATTTAGCCGAGTATCGGAGTTGGTTTCTTGCGACTTTTCCAAGACACGAGTCCCAAACCAGCTGGTTTGCGGAAATTCCATGATTGTCTTCTGTGGGATAATAGTAGGCGTGAATAGGACAGTCGACAGTGCTGTTAAAAAGAGGCAAATGGTAGCGAGAAGATGTGACAACGTCACTGAGTAGATCTTCAGCCGGATGGAGTGATATAAAGCCTTTAAACCTATCATGTCAAGTAGAGATATATCCAGTTGATCAGCCGAACAGAAATCGATGTTTAATTTAGACATGATGGCTAGATTTCTTAGAGTGGCATCCGAAGAGGTTGTGTACATGGCGACAATGAGAAATGCCAATACTGGCAGAGAACTCCACAACAGCGGATTCTTATCTTCCGTGACGGTAGCCAGCCCTTGCGAGCGCCAAGATATTCTCAATGTCGCCGACAATCCAGCTATAAGCGCAATGGTGTATACGACGAAGAAAATCCGGGAAGATTTCCTAACAACCAAAGGGGAGTAAGTTTCAGCTTTGATCCACTCGGCTTTCATCTTACGTCGCGTTTTCGACAAAGAAGAATAGATGAACGGATCTCGATGTCGATTCCCGAGGAAATACAGCATAGATCCGAGGATTGTTGCCGGGTCTCTATACCAAACGTTCGCAATCCCTTTGGAGTAAAAAACGACCCATAGGGAAATCAGGGCCATTATACCAAAGACTACGGCCATTGCCACACATATGCCCTTGTTTGCCTGTAGCCTTTCGACTTTTATTATTCTAGACCCAGGGATATCCTTTTCAGTATCTTGGCGGAGGATATAGTTCGCGATAAATGGACTCAACGTCCCAATGAAGGACGACATACTTTGCTGGAGCATATCGCTTTGATATTGAGTCTCATTCCCATTGTTGAGCTTTTTGCCAGATAAGATAGATTGCTCTTCAATAATGTCCTTCCCCAAGCCTCTGCCAGCGGCTTCTAGAAGTTCGACTACCATTTGCCATGGGTCGGAGGGAATGAGAATCTCTTCTGCGCCAGGTAGCCTCGTTATATTTGGGCGAATACCGTTGTCCACGACCTGAACTTTGGAGATGTATGCTCTTGAGGAGCATATAGCGGCAGCAAGCTTGTTGAGTTCTGGGATAGATTGATTGTGCTGAGAAGCTGTGAGAAGCCCTGAATAATACAAGAACTGAGTGTTTGCTTGTATAAGAGACGAGCATAGATGAGGATTTGTAGCATTCGAAAATACTTCCTCGAAAGGCATCGGAAGTTGGCTTCCATGCATCTGAACCAAGTCAAAGTTGGCGAGCGTCTCGCAACTTGGGAACTTGAGATCAGCGGAAAAATAATATGATTGTACATGGTTATAGATTCTCTGATAGGTGTAATTGTGTAACGGCTCGCATCTCACATCGACAAATAATCCATCAACTTGTACTTCTATGGGGCTCTCGACAGTGCCGCGGGAGCTGGGACCTGGCCCGGGCAGTTCAAATGTTTGATAGGCGCATTCATTTGAGACGCCAAAGGGAAGCTCCATATCAAAGTTCTGCATAGCTTTTGCATTGAAGTATGCTATTGCGTTGGATGAGTTGCTTAGATCATTCGTTGCTTCAAATGAAGTAAGGGCACGGACTTGAATTGGCTCCGTGACCTCCATGGTTATCAGCTGGAAGATGTTGGCAGAAAGAACGATCTGAACTTTTAGTAACACCGAAATTAAAACGACGAGAAAGACGAATATATCTCTGCGTTTGAGAGATGTGATGAGGACGTTCGGTGTGATGAGCGAGGTATAGTCGAGCTCATTCGTGCCTGGTTTATCACCATGCTTCGCTCTCCTTAGGCAGATCCAAGGCCAATATCTGAGGGTCTGCAGTTCAGCTCTCCACCATAATATAGAGATGGGTGTGATGACTACGATAGTCGACGGTTAGTTACTTGACCTGAAGATCGAACGAGATTCGTGAAGCAAACAGATATTCTTTTGTTATAGGAGGTGCTACTTACAGACAGTAGGACCAAATCTCCACAGGTGTTTCAGACCCTTCTGAGCGTTATTCAAGCCATCGTGGCCGTTTGAATAGGATGCGATACATGATATCGCTACTGTGCAGGCAGAGAATAGGACGCAGAATGCTCCAATGATAGCACCCCGTAACCAGAAAGGGCGCCAGAGCATCTCATTGTGCGATTCATCTTGAACTGCTGCTGAAGATACATTCTCTCCAGCTTGTGGACTTAAACTTGAAGGAATCAGAAGGCTTGATCGTACACTCTCCAGAGCCTGTCCTTTCTTACCTCTGGAGCTATTCTGGGCGATCGGAGGCATTTTGAGATTGAACTGAAATGCGCGCAACATATTCATCAACTCTAGAAAAGAAATTAAACCAAAGAATATTCCAGAAAGCGGCGGCATTCTATGATAATAAAGAAAGGGATGAAGGATGACGTGGAGTGAGACACCGTAGACAAAAGTTCGTCCTTAAGGAATAGGCGGGACTTCGGTTTTCGATGCAACACCAGATGCAATGCTACAGACATGCACATCCCTCAACCAAATATAGAAAAGTATATCACCTCATCGAATATTTGGGGCACTGCTGAAAAAGAGGACAGAGATCGCCGGTTTATCTGCCTGAATCCCCCGATTTGAAATTCTCATTTATTAGGCGGCAACAATCGTAAGCTGCATATAGAGCCCTATGCTTACCTCTTAAGCACTCTGCATTCATGCGTAAGACTACTTGTGAGATTTTATTGGACAAGCATCGCTTGTCTCACATGTTGGGGTGGCTTAGCTCCAATGATAGTAGCATTGGTTACGGATGTAGCTGCAGGATGAGCTGATAGAAGAACATTATTGCGGCAAGGCGGTAGCAAATGTTGAGCATTACACCATAATTATTGATGAGAAGTTATTCGATGAGAAGTTATGACAGCCTTTTATACTGAACCCGGTGGTGTATAAATTTAAGATAACCTAACGCACCGCGCATCTCTGTTTTAGAGCCTAAATGGATTGACGGCTAGCTAACGGACGCATCGATGATCATGAGTTTTAGAGGTGATAGCGGGATATTTATTCCCGTTGTTTTCTTTGGGTCTGGGGATGCATTCTGTAGTTAATTGAAATCGAGAATACTCTGAAGTTTGCCAAGAGTGACTTTGCGGCTTATCTTCCACGGAGCGTGCTTGCTTTGAGTGCAAGCCGTGTACTCCCGGGACACTTCTTCTATCAAGCCTGTATATCAATGCGACTGTTTTAATGTAGCAGAGGCTTTAAAATTGGCTGCTAGCAGCGCGAAGCTCCTTGACATTGGTGGCAGGAAGCGTCCCACGCCTTTGTCGTCGACGGCCGCAATCGTTTGGATGATGTGTTTCGCTGAGCTATCTGCGAGAAGCTGGCAAAAATCTATTTCGAAAAAAGACGTGATTTCGGTTTCTACTAAATTCTTGAGCCTCGATTGACAGGCTTTCAGAATAGTCATGTGATACACCATGCGTAAGAATGCCTGACTCAGGAGAATGGCCATATTCCTCCTATTATGGCCATCGCTTGATGGAATAGCACTATCTCTGATTGAAGAAGGCAGGGAATCGTACCATTGCACAAGACTCCTATCGAGCCAGGTGAACAATTGGCCGGCCACTGGAGTCGACTGAGACAAGATATCATAAAGGCGATTATCGTCACTGGTGGAGATCTGCGGGTTCCTCTTCCCGACCGTCCATAAAGTGGCCTGGAAGATGCACACTTGAGCCAGGTCCTTAGCATTAATTTGCTCGTCATGACGCGTGCGATCATCGCAGCTATGATATCTCGTGTTTCCGTAGACATCTGTCAGCGGGTGGAAGTCTGTTTCTTCAAGCATTAGAACATCAAAATCCCCTTCTGATATTTTGGGCGTATGATCTGTGGCAAGTGAAGCAAGATTATCGAGGATGCAGCAACACCACCAAATACGGCGACGTAGTCTTTGCACATCTATGGGATAACATGGTGATATGTAAGCAAGGTCCAGGTGAAGCTTTGCCCTAAGAGCTTCAGAGATGGCCACGTCGGCCCAGTAGGAGGCATCTCGGTGTCCAGAGACTCGGTCGCATGCCAGTGACATCATGATCAATGACTGAACGACAGTGCATTGATCCAGCTCGCAGTTGAAGTCGTATAAAAGCTTGAAGTGATTATTAGTAACTGGATTTGCTCTTGAATCCTTTCCGGGAAATCTTACTCTTGCTCGTTCGAAAAAGTCTCTTCGAGCTTGTTGTCTAGTCTTGAATCCCTCCTGCTCAAGCACTTCCATGCGTACACCTGATATGCCTGCACAGAGCACGGCCTGGAACAACAATAGACTGATGTTCCCATTACTCTGTTCAGTGTATTCGAGGGCCTGAAGAAAACTCCCTAGGTTAAGGATGGGAAAATAGGGGTGAATACAGTCTATGAAGGAATCGACCAAGGCGGATTGGAGTCTTTTGGAGGGAATAGTGAGCGCCCCTTTAGATTGCAAATATCTCTTTTCATCGTTGCCAATATCCCAACGAAGAGGTTGTATAAATCTTGGGAGTGAATAACTGGTTGTATCAGGACTTGGCTGTGAAGGACTCTGTATAAATTGCGGAGATGCGGGTGTGACCGGGGTTGATGATTGTTCTAAAGTTGATAAAAATTGTTCAACTCCCAGCTGATACGGTGGGATAACCTCGCTCGCGACTACGAAAGCGAAGATTGGTTAGTCCTTGGTGATAGGGAAGGATTCGACAGACTGTTTGTCGGCGGATAGAAAAGAGACCTACTTTCAGGGGATTGTTGGTTGTTCTTGCAGTGGTCTTGCTCTCTTGTTGCTGCTTTCGTGTTCCAAGGTACTATGTCCGTGGACCCTGTAGAGCCACTTGTGTTGATTCCTCCGTGACAACTTTTTCGAATTAGAAAGAACGTTCTTTATTGCTTCATATCCTCTTGTTGAAGACGGAAATAAACTGACAGGTGAAACTAACAAAAAAAAACGGTGTTAGGATTACAAGGCAAAGAGATATTGGCACTTACGGACGTGTGCGACGATGTGCTACAACGCAAACACGATCGTACCAACTGCAATTTGCACAAGGATATTTCCGAGTTACATCGCACCTTACTTTGCGAGATCTGCATTCAAGACAAGCCTGGGTTGCTCTGCCTGATTTCAGTTTGCGCCTGTTGAGGGTCCCCTTTGAGCTGCTCTGGCCTTCAGTCGAACCTTCGGATGTCGTGACGGAAAGAGTGGAAGCAGAAGTCGACAAGGATCCGGCGGCAAAGAGTCGTAAGAAGGGCTCCAACTCTACTCCCTCGCCGAATACGCTGGAGGATCTGCATGTTTCGCTCGCAGGATTAGCCATGTTGAGGCTTCTACTTGATTGGTTCAGGGTGAATCAGCTCCGATACCTTGCCGTAATACGAATCAAACCCATTCGAGGGATGAGCGCGTCTACCCCGCGAAGAACTGACTATGGGGTGCATCCATGTTGGTTGAAATCCGGCCCACGCCATAACCCGCATCCTAACCTCGTCCCGCCTCCGTCTCATCCCAAATGTCGGACCGACAGCCGGTCTCCTAAGCAAGGCACACAGTTTGCTAGAGTATCGGGCTATCTGAACTCAAAGTTGAACAGAAATGGAGTGTACAAAAGTTGAAACTGTCTCTTTTATCATCATCACACCCGGATGTCTCTGTTCTAGTTATGCTATGCAAATATCATGGTTCAATTCACTAACAGTACAGACTCCCATCGTTTGCTGTCTTGTTGTATCTCTTCTGTCTAAATATTCTAGGGTGCAGAGAGGCGGCATTTTTACCCAAAGAGGAAATATTCCCACCGGCCGGTCCGCTTTGGCTGCCTTGTTGTTCTACTTCCAAGGAGGTTAAGTGGTTTTGCAGAGGGTTACTCTATGTCAAACGAATTAGCAACCCGTTCTGGCTTTATTCCTTGGCATCGAGGCCTAGATTTACGTTAATGGCATAGCACCTGTACCCCATGTTATGCAGATATTTAAGTTGGCAGATGATAGCTGCGCTGCACAACACCTAAACCGCACCGTCCTTTCGCCTTCTTCGCCTTCCTCATCCGTTTAAAGTCAACGAAAATGCCATCCGCCGTTGAAGCTAATGCTAAGCGCACACTGCTTCTGTCCGAGTCCGCTCGGACTTTGGATAAGCTCAACAGGCAGCACAGTGTCGGTGGAATCAACTCCCTCCCAATCTATATTGTTGAGGGCAAAGGCTCCCGGTTGATTGTACGTCTACGTCTAGTCTTAGGGGAGTTGGAACATGTTTATGGCTGATTATCCATTCTACTATAGGATTCCGATGGCAATGAATTGATTGATTTTATCTGCGGCTTTAGTGCCTCCAACTTGGGCCAGCGGCACCCACGAATTCTCGAGACGCAAATCGACACGGTGAATAAAAGTAAGTACACACTACCTAATCACAAGCTTGTAGGAGTTTGCTCGCTGACCGGATATTTTCCAGTCACCCTCGCCAACATCGCCGGCCAGTCCCATCTTTGGCCAATCGTGGCTAAAGAACTCTGCGAAAAGTTCAAATACGACAAGGTAGTGTCAATGACTACAGGCTCGGAGGCCACCGACACAGCCTGCAAGCTCGCCCGCGGATGGGGTGTCAGCGTCAAAAAGATTGACCCCCGTGAGGTTCTTGTCCTGGGCACGTCGGAAAACTACCATGGCACGCTATCGGGAGTGTGGCCCCTGATGGAACCTGAGGCTGGCTGGCAAGGTAAGCACCTATTTCCTTCCAGTCTCAATATTATCGGCTGATCTTGTGTGATAGAGTACGCTACCTTTAGCAAGAACATGACAAACATTAATCCTTCAAATGGAAAAGTCCTCCGCTATCTGCATCCCGAGGACTATGCCGAGATCTTTGAGCAAATGCATGAACGTATTGCCGCAGTCATCATGGAACCACTTCATGGCCTTGCTAGGTGAGGTTACTATTCTTTGGCTCTCCATTCTATCGATGGAAGAAACAGAGGAGAATGCGAGGAAAGAAATGGACCGTAGGCTAATCGAACTCAACATAGGTCAATGGATGAAGAGATCAACTTCTGTATTAAAGTGCGTCAACTGTGCAAAAAATACAACATTTTATTTATCGCGGATGAAGTCCGCATGGGCTCTTGCAAGACTGGCAAGTTTCTGAGCTCTGACTGGATGGGGCCAGAAAATAAGCCAGATATGATTACCATTGGCAAATCAATCGCCGGAGGAGCCTACCCTTCCTCTTTTGTGCTTGGTCCGAACGAAGTCATGAACAAGATGAAGCCATATCACTCTGTTAGCACTTTCTCCATGTCGGTCATGGCATGTGCTGCTGTCAGAACGGCTCTTCGCGTGTATGAGGAAGAGGGATTGGCGGACCGTGCCCGAGCTATTCACGAGAAATGGGTCAAGGAGACTTCAACTTGGAATTTCCCTTGGCTGCGATATGCGCCTGCTTTCGGTGCCGATCTTAATCTTCTCTTGGATCCAGAGTATGAAAAGCGCCCTGAGAATATCTCGCCTCGTCGATTTTCTCTTTTGTGTGCGAGTAAGGGTTTGCTTGTGTTTCCTGGACCGAATGGCCGAGTCCGACTGGGCGTCGCCTTGACAATCAGTGACGAAGATTTACTGAAGGGATTCCAGATTCTCAAGGAAGCTCTGGAAGAACTACCTCTATACGGCGAAATTGAAGGCTCCGAGGAGACACAGGGTGCTTTCTAGCTTATCTTAGGAAGAGAATCAACTTCAATTCAAGCTATGTATCAGTGACTGTTATAATCGCCTGTTTGCGAGAACCTCATTGTAGTATTCGATAACAACATTAGCATAAGTGATTGTGACTCTGCCACAAGTCTGCCGTGCAATATCTGTTATGTGTATTTCACTTGTTAACAGGGAAAACTGTAAAAGGGCCGAGCTTATCTTGAATTCATTAATTTGTTATAAGCCCTGACGGAAGTATTCGTTGCCTTGAGATGTCGGGTCTAGCATCTTCGTTGCTATTTTTCACTCTGTATCCAAACTGTCTCATCCGCCCCAACAGAAGAGGGATTTGAGGGTATGAGCATTAGTTGATTATTACGATGCTAATGTCTATGTTGAAATATAATTATTGGGTGATTCCTAGATCATGCCCTTAAGCACGCTTTTACGCACATTTGGTTCTATATTATACATTTTGAATGTCCGTTGATCGACCTATCCAATTCCTTGCCACCAACATGTTGTGATTGTGTAGGATTCCCAAACTGTCCCGTCAAACAGTTTCGTCTTGTTCACTACCTTCATGAATCCTTTCTAAAGCAAGATCGATCTCCTTCTGCCAGTTCGTACGCAGCACAAACATTAGCTCAAATAATGCAACGCAGCCCATTCCAATACATTGCGCGATCCATAGGCCCGAAAGTTCCCATCCCCGAAACGCCAACCAGTAGCCCAACGGAAGGGCAATCACATAGTAGCTCGTGATGTTTGCAGCTGCTCCAATATGTTGTTTTCCCGTGCCTCTCAGCGAACCTCCACAGCTTCCATTAACCGCATCTGCGATCTGGAACAGTCCTATCCATGGCATTACGTTTGCCACATACTTGACTACCTCCATATCGCTTGTGAAAAGTTTCGCAAAATGGTTGCGAGTAACGATCAGAGTTAGGCAAATAATTACTGCCAAGGACACAGCTAGAATAGTAGCAGTATGAGCGGCTCGTCTGGCTCCTTTTGCATCCCTCGATCCAAGAGCACCTCCAACACGAACGCTGCTGGCAACGCCAATCCCGAAGGGGATTGTGACCAGTACTTGATCTGCCGTCATCAGCACACTTTGCCCTGCAAGAGGAAGCTTCCCTAAGTTTCCTGCAATAAGGGCCACAATTTCAAACGCCCAAAATTCAGTGCCCAGTTGAATAATACCTAAGAGAGCAATGCGGAAGAATATACCCAAATGGCTCAGGCATGCCTTGTCCCAGCCATTCCAGCATTCGTAACCAGCCACATATCTTGTATATAAGACAAGACCGGCGAATGATAGCCAGTATGAGATACCTGTGGCCAACGGAGCTCCCAATAGCCCAAGGCTGGTATTAATGAACAAATAATTCAAAACGGCGCTGAGAGGAGAGACAACTAGCATGACATAAGTCGGGGGATGCACCAGGCCTTGGACTTGCAGATACTTCTTGAGCGCCTCAAAGTAGATATACCCGAGCCCTCCTGGGATTAGGCAGGTAAGGAACTTTCGGGACTGAAGAGATAGCTCTGGATCTTGCCCAAGGAGGATGAACAGCCGGTCGGAAAATGCCCATATGATGCATACAGGGATATACAGAAGGGTAAGAACGATAATGCACCTTTGCAACAAAATACCCGTCTGGTGCTTGTTGGAACCCCCGGTAAAGGCCGTGGAGGCGAGTGTGTCCAAGGCTGTTGAGCCCCCCATTCCTATAAGCCAGCCAGAACAGGTGCTGAACATGTAGGTAAACGCTGCCGCTGAGAGGTTGTGGGGCATAGATCTCCCGACTGCGATGATAGATATGGTTTGAATCGAATTTTGGAGGATATAAGATGAAATGACAGGCACGGAAGAGCGAACCAGAGCCTGCAGTTCATAGGCTATCGGGGTTGCCGCAGAGACAAAGCTCGAAGTCTTCACGGGATGAGCATCAGGGGGCAAAAGGGGCGAGTATTCATCCTCCGAGCCGCGATGCTTGTTCCTGTTTTCATGACGCTCAGAGCTTCTGGCACTTGGTGTTGTGTAATCTGTGTTCAGTGTAAGTAAGGCCCGATTTGATACTCAAAGATGACTTACAATGATCATTTGACTCTGGCATGGTGCGATTCGACATTTTGCAATCCTGCGAGCTACTGGTCTGCTTCGTAGAGACTTAGAGTGACTCAAGGTTGAGAATTGCCATTATCTCCTACAGCACGCTCTTATCACGGCAAAGGTGCTCTACCGTCGCCGAGTAGGGGAAATTTCCGCTTTTGGAAGTTTTTCCGCTTCACACGGAAAACGTGATGGTGCGACTAGCGGCAACCTTCGGAACAAACATGCTCGCCACCCTTTCCAGTGATTCCGACGGGGTCCGGCTGCGGTGATTTTGCTGCTTTGGGTCGAAAGTGACATTGTGGGCTGAAAGAGGCACCCAAAGATTCATCCAAATATTTTCCTTGTAATCAGGCTCCCTTTGTCTTTTCATACTGAGATTTCAATCTACTCGCAAGCCTTGGCACAATGCTCAGCTTTATCTTGCAGTCGACATTCTTTGGTGGAGTTGCCACTACACATGCTATTGATCAAACGCCTCTTCGTAGGCCACAGAAAGAGATTCATAGTTCTTGCATGAACCTGGTAAATATTTCCCATCTCAAGGATATTAAAGCCATGTGTTGAACTTGGTAACAGTGCAATCCTTCCTTCTCAAGAATTTCGACGTACGCTCTGCTACCACATTATGCATGCCTGGACGATGAACCAGCTCGACATGACATCGGTATCGTGGATTCGTAAGACCAGCAACCTTCTAGGCCCGCTGTTGTTCTTAAACTGACGATTTCTAGGCATGCCGTTCGATGTGGGTGTTAACTACAGACCCAGTGCCCAGTGCCATTCGACAAGCTTCTCGTCATCTGACTCTGGCGTGAGTATCTCCCCAACTGAGAAACGAAAAAGATCGTGCTAAAGGGATGTTATGAATAATCAGTGGCGGTTTTAATGTGTAAGTATCGAAGCCAATAGGCTAAGATAACTTTTTTAACTCTTGGCAGTCCCCAAAATGTTAACCCTTTCAAATTCTGGGGTAATGCTATTGATTGTGGCGATATCCCAGTTATCCCGTAAGTCACCATGCTGCCTTCTAGAACAAGGCTCCAGCTAATCAAAGATATTGCGGCTTCGACAAAAAAGTAGCAATGGAGCAGATCGAAGAAGGGTACACAAGTCTATTAGAGCGAAAGCCCTCCACTATTGCTATAAGCGAAACCGATCCTCAGGCAGAGTCTCGAACAGTGCCGCTGCTACTGACTCTCGGGGCGAGTCGGGGGGGATCACACCATCCTCCTCCCATTTTGCGAAGCTTGAATAAGATTTATGGTCCTGTTTCAGTTATGCATTTCGACTCGCATCTTGATTCCTGGAATCTAACCGTCGGCGCACCCTCAAAAGAAGCTATTGTTACCCACGGCAGCTTTTTCTATCTGGCAAGCAAAGAGGGTCTTCTTTCCAACGACACTAATATCCATGCAAGGCTGTGAACAACCTTGCGGAGCCTGGACGACTTCGACGCTGACGATAAATGCGGTTTCTTTCGTATCGAAGCCCGCGAGATAGATGTGCTCGGTGTTCAAGGTATCATTGAGAGGATCAAGAGCTGAGTCGGCACAAAGCACCATACTTACATTTCCATGGATATCGACACCCTTGACCCTGCCTTTGCGCCTGCTACCGGTACGCCGGAGACAGGAGGGTGGACGACAAGAAGGGAAATGAGAGCTGTTCTCCGCGGGCTTTCCGATCTCAACCTGGCGGGAGCTGATATTGTGGAGTTGGCTCCTGCGTATGACACGAATGCTGAGGTCACTGCTCTTGCCGCAGCAGATTTGATCTATGAAGTTATGAGCATCTTCGTGAGGAGAGGCCCGATGAAAATCCCATCTCGAAAATAAGGCCAAGATCTAGCTGAGGTAACATTTGTACTAGAAAGGTGGCCCGATCAAAGTGGTAACCCTGTTTCTGTTGTAGTTGTACTATAGCCTCCACTTTGGATTCAATGCGAAGATTGGATTTTCAGATGAGACGATCAATCCGATGTCCATGATCAACTACGTATGAAGAGTTATTAATAAGATGTGGCTCGCCGTAGAAGACCCTGTATTTTTTCTTACCTCGATGTCTCCAGGATGGCCACGGAAGACCTGGCTCCAGATCACGTATCTGCCATATATGTTGTAACGCCGCCACCAGATCACCACGGTGAAATGCCAGCCCCTTGGGGGATTGCAACATGAGCTCGATCATTTTCCGGGCGTGTGAATCAACGGCCTCGCATCCTGCTGTGAAGAGTGGAAATACAACTGCGAACAGGGCCCTGGAGTCTCCTGCTATATCTGAGAGTTGGTTCACGATAATGTCTACGTTGGAGCGAATGATAGGGGCTGTAGAAGGGAACCCCTTCAGGCGAGAGTGCAGCAGTATGGATGCCGCAGCATGCATGGATTCATTGACACAAATCAGTGGATCCGGGTCAGTGGGATTCAGACTATTCAAAAGCCGCAGATCTTCCCTCCGAGCGTGGGCCAGGCCTTCATCGACCTCCAGAACCTCTTGTTCATATTGGGCGGCGTGGTCTTCCGGCATTCCTTGGCCCGTGTCCATCAGCATCGTCTGCTGAATAAGTTTGCTCATCAGGAGCAGCGGGTTGACGAGTCGTGAGGAGAAGGCATACAGGGGATGGTTGACCCAGTCCTTGAAGACCGAAGAGTGGCTCGAAAGGTTCAAGCCGACTTCCTCTTCTAGTAGCTGAATCATGCGGAAGTTCTCCAATGAGAGATACGTCTGTGACAATCCCAACGAGCATGCGGAGGAGATCACACTCCAACGCAATAAAGTCAAGATTTCCTCGTTAGAGATGTGACGGATATTGGCAGACTTGGTTGGGCGCGAAAGCAATTTCGATGCGAGCCACGTTGACAGGTGTAGATATGGCGTCCGGCGATCAAGGCTGAAGTAGTGAAGAAAGACGCCAGCGGCGATTGTAGCGAGGGTGTCTCGCTCATCGGGCATGACGCTCGTCGCCTCGCGGACGAAGGAAAAGGACGACTCTCGGGAAAATTTCACGACCATCGACGAGTATTTGTCATCCCTCCCGAGCGCCCTATACTGAGAAGCACCAAAGCAGAGAACAGCCTTCCGGAGGTTGGCATTGGAAAGGGCGAGCTGTGGCAATACAGCAATATAGGGGTCCTGCAAGCCCTTACTCTTCATCGGCTCCAGATCACAACACAGGAGTCCATCTTCGGTAACGTTGAGGAAGAAATGCCACAAGAAACGGCTCTCGGGAGAGTGTAGCATGTCCGAAGGCCAGGGAGTCGTGCAATTGAGATTGGGGACTGTTTCGGCCGGTACGTAGCTTGGAGAAGTGGCACCGGGTGGGTTTAAATGCGATATGAATCGTGGAGAGCCTAATCTTTGTGTCGTTCTTGGGGAGAGTACCGGTAAGGATATATCAGGAGAGAGCTGGCCAGCACTTTGCCTTTCAAAAGACCCCAATATGCCGGTCACACTTTCAGGGGGTAAGTCCCAAAGATGAGACCCCGGAAAGGTACTGAAATCTTCGGGCTCGCATCCATCGACTGTAATTGGATCCCACAATGGATCAATGAATGCAAGGAGGCTTGTCTCATTCGATGAGTCGAAAATCACATTCAAACTATCAGCAGATGGCTCATCCCATTCTCTTTCAATGTCGCTTTGCTGCCGGGCGTGCGTGGGAGATTCGAGCAATAGTTCAGTGATCGTGGGTGAGATCTGTCCGGTTTGTGATGGCTCCTCGTCTACATTCTGGGAGGCTGTAACTGCAGCCGTAGACTTGGGCTGACGGCGTCGACTAGGTGCGAGATTGATCGCCGATGAAGTCAAGATCTTGAATGTCTGACTCTCGCATTGGACACCGAGTCGCACGCATTGAGAGCACTTTGGCTGCTTATGGTCACACTGGGCAGGATTGAGCCAGGTCAGCAACTCCCCCAGACCGAGTCACATATTACTGAGGGTAATGTCACCGTGACTATCAACTTACCTTCCTTTTTCGCCTTGCGCATTGTAGGCAAGCGCCTCTTTGCCCTGGTTTCATGGTGGACGACACGGGGGGGATAGGGGCGCATTGATGGCACTTCGCGCCTCTGGCAAACAGACGGCTTCGATGACGTTCGACATGGATGGCGGGAAAACAATCGAGTCGGACCAGATGGGACGAGAGTTGATCAGCCAGTGCTTCGGTCCGCATTTCAAAGCTGATTGGTGGTGGATGGTCTTCTCTCCATCCCCAATGCGGCAATAATGCCGCCGTACCAGATACATCTGATATTAGTCGAACCTAAGATAAGACAAGACAAGAGAAAATGTGTCAACTGATCACGGGCCCTGTAACCGTCCGTACCGTGTATCGTGTATCACTTCCATTGTAGGGTTGAGGCGTCCAATAGCCTAGATACGATCAGATCCTCTGGACAAGCAGAGGGCATCGTTACCCCAACTTTACCCCGATTTGATAACGAGGAGTTTGCATATTGAGTTGTACTTGGCTAGCTGTGAATATATAGTCTGACACTATCCCTCAGTGTCGTTGTTATATTGCCCTTGCTATTCTAAATTTTCCATTACAACCAACAACCATTATTGAGAAACAGAAATAAATCATTATGAGCACTGAGAAAATGCACCAGGGTTCCCGAAATGTGTCTCCCCATAAAGCCACAGGCCATCAGGCCCAGACAGACAATGAGGTGCTTGTTCGCCTGGGCCACGAACAGGAACTACCCCGAAGCTTCTCAATGTTCACACTAGCTGCTCTCTGTTCGTGTCTCATGGCAACATGGGAAGCACTGGCAAGCGTCTTGGCTACGGCTCTTGTGAGCGGTGGTCCACCTTGCCTGCTTTACAACTAGTATGCAGCTTTTTGACTTCTGATGAGAGCCAGGGGCAGAGGCTAATGAGCAAAAAGTATAGCTGCGTTCATCTTTACTGCCTGCATTACCGTGTCATTAGCCGAAATTGCATCCATATATCCGACAGCTGGCGGTGAGTCGATACTCCAACGTTGTGGAAAGGACTCTTTGTATAACTCGTCATCTGTGTAGGCCAATATCATTGGGTGTCCGCTATGAGCCCACCTTCGAAAAGGTCACTTCCAGCCTTCCTAACAGGTTGGATATCCATTGGAGGCCAGACTTTATTCTCCGCTTCTGCTGCGTTTGCTGGAGGACTCCAGATGCAAGGCTTGATCGTGTTAAACAATGATAGTTTTGTATCGGAGCCTTGGCAAGGTGTGCTGTTCTACTGGGCCATCTTGGCCTACTCAGCCGCAACTAATATTTGGGGCCTCAGAGTTCTACCTCATATCAATACAGCTGCCGGTACGCACTACTACTCAGTCTTTATACCTCTCTTTGTTACTTCACGCTCACTCGTGCTGGTTACCTTCAGGAGTTCTTCATTTAGCAGGATTCATTGGGGTCGTTATCACGTTGCTGGTAATGGCGAACAAGAACTCAGCATCATTCGTCTTCACCGATTTTGAAAATAGCAGTGGTTGGGAAAGTGATGGAATCTCCTGGCTCGTAGGGCTGCAGAGCGCAGTCTTTCCATTTCTCGGGCAAGTTCTTGAGAGCCTACTCTTGCTATAGGAACTATACTAATACTTTACAGATACGACGCGGCGTGCCATCTGTCCGAGGAGCTGCCCAATGCGAGCCGCAACGTGCCTCTTGCTATGATGTACAGCGTTCTTCTTAACGGTATCACTGGATTGGCTTATTGTATCGTCCTTCTGTTTGCGACCACGTCACTAGACTCGCTGTTGCAAACCCCCACCCAGTTTCCGTTCATGGAAGTGTATCTTCAAGCTACACAGTCCAGGGCCGGCGCCACTGTCTTGTCGGCTATCATCCCCATCATTGCTGCTGCTGCGAGTATGGCCGGCTTAACATCAAGTTCTCGGACTTTGTGGGCCTTTGCCCGTGATAAGGCCACACCATTCCACGAGAAACTGAGCAGAGTCGACGGCAAACTCCATATCCCGAAAAATGCCGTGCTTACATGTGTGGCTTTTCAATGGGCCCTTGGCTTTATTTATCTCGGCAGCACGACCGCCTTCAACGCCATCATTTCCATGGCCATCATTGGGATGTACCTCTCATATCTGATCCCGATTGTTTATATGCTCCTCTATGGTCGTAGGCAAAGCATTAGTCAGATATCGAGATACATGAAGCTCCCCAACTGGCTGGGGATTTGCCTGAATGTAGCCTCCATCGTGTGGATGATAGTTGCGATCATCTTCAGCACGTTCCCAATCCTCATGCCAGTCACATCCACAAACATGAATTATTCTATTGTCGTCATGATTGGATGGTTGTTTTTTGGTGTTGTATATTATCTGTTTTGGGGAAGGAAGAAGTTTGAGGCTCCTATGTCTGACACTTCTGTCATTCTAACTACAGGGTAGTAACCATTGAACCCAACTGTCTACAATTGTACAGATGTCATATCCGAGACAACTCAATGTTGCCAGGAGGGATCAATTGAACCGAATAGAAAAAGAGAGGCTCTATAGCTAGTGACCACGGTTTCATAGCCGAATGGAGTGAAATGAGCTACAATTAGGCACCAAGACACGATATGACGATAGTCTCCACATCACGCTCGAATTTGAGCATTTATCCGAAGCAGAGAGCGAGATTCCTGGCTTGAAGCCTGTTGGTCCATCATCCCCCGACCCGTGCTGTGGCAAGATCCCAAGCGGACCGATGTCCGAAGGACCCGATTCCATAATCGATCCTCCTCTCAGGCTTGTAGACTACCAGCATGGGTTATATCGTGGATGCATATTTGAGCTAACAGGCTCACTACATCCATAGCTCTTAATATTTTCCGTCATTTATCCATCGTTTCTTTAGTCATGATGGATTGGCATATAAGCTGTCATCGTCCAAGGTTATAGGATCTGCAAACATTACTAATTCTTTATATGTATATATATTTCGAAGTCTCACGAAGTCAGAATGCAGCTGGACATTCCTATCAGTATCTCAAACTCTTTCTTGGCTGTGCTCGCACTGATTGTGCAGTAGCGATGATGAGTTCTTGGATGAGTGAGGCAATGATCACATCAAATTTCACATAAAAGACATCATTATACGAGGTATGTTCGTGTTGGCATTTCAATCCTCCCTACTTGGTCATTATTCCCATCTTTCTCACATTATGTTCGAGAGGCTCATCGGGCTTTCGTCTAATGGCAAATTGACTTTGAGAGAGTTCGTGTACAAAGCAAAACAACAGCAATGAAAGATGCCAGGCCAAGAAGCTAGTACTAGAACACAGCCCAAGCTACGATGGGAGAAACTAAGCGCCACAATATGAAATTGGTGGTGGTTTGTTTGTAAGACTGTATTACACACCTGCGGATCAAGTACAAGTCTTGCACGCTATGTATGAATATGAAAACTACGCCTATCTCTGTGGTTAATCCGCCAGCGGGAAAATGACCAAGAGCGGTTAAGATGCCAAGTCAGATTACCCCAGATCGGAGCGGGGTTCCCCACACCCCATATCAGTTCTCCTTTTCCTAGACTTCACCCTCCCCGCCGTCCAAGTTGGAACCAGTCCCTCTGGTAACTCTCCAAAATTATCTATACCTACTACAATTCAAAAGAATCATCGACTTGAAGGGCATATTTGGCTTGCACTTAGACTACCGACAGACTACCAACGGATCAAGATGTCTACTCCGAGGCCTATACGTCGGACTAGACAAGCCTGCACAAATTGCCGGTAAATCACCCCTTCTTGTCCGATGTATGCATCATCTCTCGTCTAACAAAATCATTCAAATGCCTTGTAGAAATCGAAAAACCAAATGTTCAGGGGACCGACCAAAATGCAATACTTGTCGACGTATTAACCGAATTTGTCACTATGAGCCTTATCCACGTCCCTTTCCACCGACAAGCATTGCGACAAACTTCCAACAGCATGATCTCTACCTTGCCATGGATAGCTCGGCCTCTATTACGACCACGGACAACTTCGATGTAAGGATAAGCTGCAAGGATGTCCAAGCTGTTTCGCTTATTGATTCATCCTAGGGAAACCTGGTTACCAGGCTTAGAAATATCGAATCTGAGCTTGCCCGCTTGAGCCGAAGAGATTACTCTACGAGGTGTGCTATCAGAACTCAGTCATGTTTCTATTCCTCGTCCATATTCCATGTCCCAAATTGCTAATGGAAGTTTGTTCCAGCCCCCCATCAATAAATCAAACACGTGGAAAGCGATCATGTTCCTTTGAGATCCCGAGTGGAAAACGAACATCTTCCGTCTCTCATTCCCAGGGAGCACCACGAATCTTCGAGTCTAACGAAGCAAACGGGGCTGACGAGAGGTTTGAGTTCTCATCACCTGGGTCCGGCTCAGAATGTTCTTTTGGGACAAGGTGAGATTTCTCGTGATTCCAGGAAGACGAGAGCAGGAGCTGACACTGCCGAGACATAGGCGATTCAGGGACCTACCTCCGACACCAGTGATGGAAGCGATGATAGATACTTATTTCTTCCACGTCCACAATCAGCCGTATTCCTACTTCCAAGAAGATAGTTTTCGACAACGCTTGGAGTGTGACACAATTCCTAAATGTCTCATTTTGGCGATTTTGGCCTCATCATTGAAATTTTCAAGCCACGAATATTTCCATGGTTATGTCCGCGAAGCCACAGATGCATACGCCAGGGAGGCATGGCTCTTGGTGCTGGATGACTACATGAGCAGCGAGACCCCTTCCAACTTATATGCCGCCCAGACAATGAATATGCTGGCAATTATCGATTTCACTTGTATGTTGAATCCCAGTCCTTGTTTTCCAGTCTCCAACCAAGACACGTTGTACTGACTTGGCTGAAAACAAGCGGGACGTACTAGTTCTGGATGGTTGAAAATCGGCATGGCTGTAAGAATTGCTCAAGATCTGCAGCTGATGAAAGAGCCAAGCCCTCTGTTGCCAGAAGTAGAGCAGGAAGAGCAACGGCGGGTGTTCTGGTCCATTTACCTTCTGGACAAACTTGTTTCCTGCCAGCAGGGCCGTCCACCGGCCTTGTATGATGAAGACTGCCAGGTTCGGCTTCCCTACAGCGAGGAAGCATTCAAAAATGGCGGCTTTGAAACGACGATCACGTTGTATCAGTTTTTCAGTTGGGATATTGGCCCAGATGTCTCGTTGAGCCCCCTCTCTCTTGTCATCCTGGCATCATCCGCTCTTGGGAGGTGCGCGCGGTATATTCTGCATGAGCCTCGAACCGAGGAGCCGCCCCCTTGGGCTCCCAAATCCGAGTTCAACTCGATAAACTCCTTGTTGATGCTTTGCGAGCATCATATACAAGCTGATGGATCGGCTTTTGAAACGGCTCTAGCCCAGTACCGGAAGTCAGATCAATCGCTGGATCAACAGCAAGTTGGACACTTATTATTCTCTCGCGTTTTATTCCATGTTTGCCACTGTCTCTTGAACCACCCTCCATTACTTAGACTACGACTTCAGAAGCTGCATTGCACAGTGTCCTCTGTCTTTCTGACTCGCACCATTCAGACCAGCTGCGAGCACGCCTGCCAGTTGGCCAAACTGCTGGACGCTGCCGCTTCAAGAGGCTGCCACGTCCAGTCTTCTTTTTATGCCTATGCTGCGTTTCTTGCAGGCAGCATTCTGTCCATCGTAATTCAGGCAAAACGCCGCAAGAACGAAGCGCCAAGTGTTGACCTAGTCACAAGCAGCCAACAGGCTTTGCGGACCTTGGAAAATATGGGCAGTGTATGGGATCATGCATCTAAAATGGTTTGTCCTCGTCCCTTGCATTCAATCATTGCTCGAGTCTATTGCGCTAACGAGTGTCATTTCCATGATAAAGCATTTAAAAGCGCTGCTCTTCGACTCAAACAGCAGCCGAGTATCGGAGCTGTTAGACGCCAGCAGCTCAACTGACATAGATCCGGCCACCCAGGAGATGGTTTGGTCTACGGTTGATTACGGCGCGATGGTCTCTGAGGTGAGGGGTGAACAATACTTGAAAATATCAAGTGCAGAGACTCCTGCGTTCATGTCGGTGGATCTGGGGTTGGATCTGGGGCTTGACGGTAGTATCGATAGCCATTCAAATTTCGCTCAAGGGGAGATTACTGAGACCATGTCTTGCTTCAGTAGTTCAGACCTCCAGTACTTGCTTTGATGTCCTAGCATGGCCTACCAATAATACAATGTCTATCAAGTTCAAGTTAGTGCTCCTCTTATTGGCCATTTTAATACATGGTAGTGATGAGTATGCCATACGATTTCCACAAAGTTTCACCATCCGCTATATATTAGTACCAGATGAGACGTTCAAATTGCTGTTTTGGTGGCTTCAACTACAACAATCTCCTTTGAATGGGCGTTTCCACCCCCGCACTGGAGATCTAGAGATACGCGGGGAAGAACGGGGTAGTGGGTGAGATCGTTTGCCTTGCTCCTCTTTTTCGTCCCGAGACGGACCGATCCCTGAATAACTACGCTTAAAACAGTGCCCAGCAAAAATGTATCCAAATTCTGATATACCATCCTAACTGTCTTCCTAAACAGGAACGGATCTATCATAGTCCACATATTGCGCGATAGGAGAGTATCGCCATCTCTGGAATTTGCCAAGTCCTCCCTCTGGACAGTCCAGTCCCTCCCCTGCGCCATTACACGTGGCGTACACTCCAAGAAGAGCCCCAATGAATGTGCCACTCTTCGCGCTATCTAGTCTAGTAATCAGCTCCGCGGACGCAGTTCCCAGCTCGAGCATCTCTCCGTCCCCCAGCGAGGCACCGAGAATATAGTTTTCAGGATCTCTCGCCTGAATGTGGAGGCGGACTGACTCTGTGCCAACCCAGTCGGAGGGGAGGCGGAACTGTGCACTCGGGGATCTTAGAGCTCCATGAGAGCGGAAACGAACAAATAGGCCCGCCTCTTCATCACAAGGCTTGAGGTAAGCTAGAGCAATCTCCATGTGATTCTCCTGAGCAAGGAACGCAGTGATGCCAGCTTCTTGGCCGACCTGCGTCGCCGAAATAGAGACGTCGACGCTGAAGTTGAAGATTGTGTGCGTCTGTCTTCGTCCGACGAACGAGATGCCTCGTTGGCCAGTGAGCGAAATGTCGCCGTCGTAGTTACCGGTGAGATTGCTCCTGCTGGGAACTATCTCAAGGCCATCATCAGTGAACTTGAAGTTTTCGTATCTCGGGACGCGGTGGTGCAAGAAGTGCTTTGGAATGACAGATGGAGCATCCCAGTCAAATTCATCCGGGTCGCCATTGAAGTAGCCATCACCAGGGATATCCCTATTCTCGTCGGGCAGGGGCCACATCTCCATCTCGCCTCGCACTGTGTCTATGACTGGCCATCCACCTTCGTCCCAGCGCGCAGGGGCGATGACCGACTCACGGCCCATTGGGTGGACTTTAAACTCGCTTCCGCATCTTGAAGCGTGTACAATAGCCCACCAATTGCCATCGATATCATCAAACAGATCCCCATGTCCTACTCGCTGGAAGTATTCTGTCGTATTGCGGTTGGTTAGAATGGGGTTAGCTGAGTTAGACTCGTAAGGCCCATAGATCTCCTTTGCTCGAGCAATAGTCACAGCATGTTTGGATCCCGTGCCGCCTTCGGCAATGAGCAAGTAGTACCAGCCATCTCTTTTGTAGATATGCGGACCCTCTGGCCAATTGCCGCCAGTACCATTCCAGATACTGATAGCCGGCTGAGTAAGTTCTCCTGTCACAAGATCAAGCTCTTGGAGAACAATACCTTGTGTGGCGACGTAGGCCTTGCCGTCATCATCCCAAAAGATATCAGGATCAATCTTGTTGGGGTGGAAGATCAACGGGTCTGTCCAAGCCTCGTCACTCCAGGGGTCTGCTGTTCGAAAGAGAACGCCAAGAGTACCGTCACCAACATCTTCTAGGGTAGCACCATTGAGAATATACTCGCAGATAACCCAGAAATTATTGTCATGGTACCGGATCGTGGGCGCCCACATGCCATCCTGCTGGATAGTAGTGTTCCAGGACACACCTGGTAGCTGGCTCTCACGGTTCCACACATGTGAGATGAGACGCCAGTTCTTGAGGTCCTTGGATGCGTAGACCGGCAGTCCAGGAAAGGCAATAAAGGTAGAAGTTACACAGTAAAAGGTATCATCGACCCGTATGCAGGATGGGTCCGAGTGCCAGCCTGGGAGCACTGGGTTGAAAAAGGTAGAGTTTGCTTCCTGGGCTTGAGCTGATGAGTAGAAGAGAGCGGAAAAGAGACCCAACAGGGTCAGTCTAAAGAGCTTCATGCTGAAGATGGACTTTTATAGTTGTTGGGCATACAGATTGAATGCTACAACGTTATCTATTATATACTCTCGGAACAGCGTACATCACCTTCACCAAAGGATCGCCTTAGACAAAGGCCAACTTTAGCCGGGTATAAAGGCTAAAGAAGCACCAGTGAACATGACATGCTTGCTATCATCATTCGCCCCTTGTTACTCGGCAATAGTGGGCTATGTTCGATGGAGAATTTTAACTGGGTGTGTCGAGATTGATCGTACCTCCATCATACCCAAAGCTGGAGTTGCTTCGGAGTAAAAATTGTCCTTGTCCGCAGTAATTACACCGACCTCCTCAGAGAAGTAGGTGCAATTGGATGTGTATCATCGCCATTACCCATGCGCATCCCATTCTTGGCGAACGATGGGGCCTTCCGGCTAAACATGATTATAACCACGGTCATGGGACAACACAGCTTCATACAGATATCGAAAAGTTGTCCGGTCTTGTCATTTTAGAAACGCTTGGTAACATATCGCCGCATACCACCATCGACGAGAGCATGGAAACTTCATACAAGAATTCACCTACTTTCGTTTAGTGATCGTATGGCAGATCCTTTAGTCTAGAAATATCACGATTAAGAACGCAAATTACATTACCATAGCACGGCTATCATATTTGTCACTTGAAGCAAACTATCCTACAATACATAAGCTACCCCGATATATTTTGGGGTTTGCTCTGTTTGCCATGAGCGCTTCCCTATGCAGCAACGGGGGAGAAATCGTGGAGATTCAGCCCTATGAGATTCTGTTTAGTACAATAACTTCTGCATTATGGGGTCTGATTGGATGAGATGTGTCAAGGTATTATTGGCCACTTAGGCAGATCAGCTTCGCTAAGCAAATCCTGCCACGTAGGCGGGTGCGCGTATAACGTATAACGCATGGATCTACGATTTATTCAGCGCCCGCATCTAGCCTTACACTCTGCAAGGACAAGAATCATTGGACGTTTTACGAGAAGTGGAAAAAGGGCTCACCGCTAACTACCTACGCTTACTCTCACTCATCGATTCTAGCTTCTGAGTTGTCTTAAAAGCTAATAAGGCTGGCAAAGCTTCCCCGTCCATGGATCGCAGGCCTATCTTTCCACTGCTAGGAATTGTACCAGCGAGTGATCCTCGCTTCGGTAAGTAGACATTTCAAAAGGCGGTATATCCATATTCTTCACTGCCGATGTCGGATAGCGAGAGTTATAGCGAACCGGACGCGGTCATCATCGACCGCGACGATGTGAGCAACTACAACCCCGACAATGTACTTCCTCTTCCGGCCGAGGAGATTCACAAAATCAGAGAATGGCTCGAGCCTACGCCATACGCTGTTGTCGGCGGCGAGTATCGGAAACATCTCAACTCTCACGCATCTGGGACCGGACAGTGGCTTACCTCCACCGAGGAATACAAACAGTGGTTGCATGGCGAGGACTGCGGGCTGCTTTGGATCAAGGGAATCCCTGGGTCTGGCAAATCTGTTCACGCTGCTAAATTGATCAATGATATTGAGTCGGCGAATCCTGGGTGTCCGGTTCTCTATTTCTTCTTCCGGCAGATCATCGCCGCCAACCACACACCACAAGCCCTCACCCGGGATTGGATGGATCAGGTCTTGAAATACAGTCCGCCGCTGCAACATCGGCTGTTAGAGTATGTGGAGAAGAAGATACCGCTGAGCTCATTATCGACTGGTGACCTGCTGAAGGATCTGCAAATGGCATTTCGAGGACTGCCTGATAAGGTCTTCTGTGTTGCCGACGCTCTCGATGAGATGGATACGGGCAATGATGCCTTTCTCAGGGCACTCGGTCTTCTTGGCTGCGACAGGCCTGCCAAGGTCAAGGTCTTGATCACAAGTCGACCTGTTGCTAGGGTAGAGACGCCCTTAGGGCAGATTCCTGCTCTTCATATCAGGCTAGAGGAGCGGCTTGTTGACGTTGACATCTCGACCTACGTGCATTCAGCGCTGTCCGAGTCATGTATCCCTCGTGACAAGTGGGATGCAATCGCGAGTGCCGTACCCGGCCGAGCGAACGGCCTATTTCTATACGCAAAGCTAGCCATGGAGGCGTTCCTTGAACCGGGTGCAGACCTGGAGACTGTATTAGCACATCTCCCTGCGGATCTCAATGTTCTTTACACCGACCTGTTGAGGGAGCATGTCAGACGATCCGGCGTATCACCGAGCCTTCAGCGGCTCATTCTCCAGGCAGTCACCCACGCTACGCGGCCGCTTCGACTGATCGAGCTGGCTGAGATGTGCCGAGTCGTAACTCCTGCTGGTGCCGGCAAGGACCTGAGGGCCATGAAAGATCTCATCAGGGTCGCATGTGGACCGCTGCTGGAGATCCTTCCCGACGAGACGGTATCTGTCGTCCATCACTCCTTCACCGAGTATCTCAAAGGAACGACGCGTTTGGAAGACGACGAAGGCTATGCGGTCCTTGGACAAGGTCCATCGCAGGCCCAGCTGGCCCTGACATGCCTGCGTTATCTTCTTACCACAAAATGTCTCGACGAGGTCAAGTCTAGTATTGACGACAGCCTGGAGGAACCAGGTTATGGTGATTATGCTGGAGAAACTGAGAGCACATGGGTCCCTGGCAGCATAACCGAGCTACGCATCAAGTTCCCCTTCTTTGCCTATGCCGTCAGCAATTGGCACGTCCATGTCAGGAAGTCGGGAGCGGCTTGCTATCCCCAAGACGAGATCAACGCACTTCTTGATCGGTTCATCGCCGTCGACGACACGCGCAGGGCTTGGCTCGAGGTTGCATGGCCGGGAAGGGTATGGAATGCACGCAAATTCTCGGCACTGCATGTCGCAGGGAGGTATGGACTGGCGGCGTACGCGAGGGAGCTGGTCGCGAGAAGACCCAGCGACGTGGATGCATGTGATGTCTGCGGCAAAACCCCATTGTGAGCCTCTTCTCTTTCTCTTGAATGAGTCGAAATCAAAGAATACAGACCAAGCGCGTGTTACAGGTTGACTAACTGTCCTTGTGTAGGTGGTGGGCTGCTTCTGAGGGCCATGCTGCCACGGTCAGCGAGCTGATGACTGCTGGCGCCGACCCTACTCACGAGTGCAAGTCCAGCGGATACCAACCGCTACACGAGGCTGCTTGTAAGAACCACCACGAGGTCATCAAGATACTGCTCGAGGCTGGCATCGAGCCGCTGACCCCGGTTGGCCTCGCGGAACACGATATGTGCTACTCTGGCTCCTCCTCCGGCGACAGAAGATCCGGTCTCACAATTGCTTGCGAGAAGGGCCACGTCGAAGCCGTAAGCGCATTCCTTCCGTACGTCGATCTCGATTCGTTGCATCGTGGCTTGTCGTGGGCTGCACTTGCAGGACAGGCAGGCGTTGTCAAGCTCATATTGTCGCAGCCTGGGATCAATGTTAATGAAGTGGTCCGAGGTAGCACAGCTCTCTTCAAGGCTTGCTTAAAACGAGACCTGGCTACGATAGAGGTTCTGCTCGATGCCGAAGCTGACGCAAAGCTGCTCCACGAGGCTCGGGAACCTGAGTTCGAGTCGTATAGAAGCTATACAAGCAGGAATACTCCTGACGACTCCTACCTGAAGTTCTCCTGTCTTCATGCGCTTTGCGGCACCGTTCCCGATAACCCCGCGTCCTACCACGACTGGGATGATGACGACGGCTGCCAGATGGCGTCGCTTCTCATCGATGCTGGCGTTGACATTCACTACGAGACGGATGGTGGAAAGACTGCTCTGCATTCTATCGTTGGCACGTCCTACTACGTAGCTCAGGTTCTCTTACAAGCTGGAGCCTCAGCTAACGCGAGGGACGCCCACGGTCGAACGCCGCTATACTACTCATCGATACCGGCTTGCGTTCATCTGCTGGCTGACGAGGGCGACGCTGACCTCAATGTGCGGGACTTGCATGGAGACACACCTCTCCTCGCAGCCCTGGAGACGTACGGCAAGGAGAACATAGTCTTGATGCTTCTCTATTGCGGGGCGGATGCTGAGATTCTCAACGCCGCCGGCGACAATGCGCTGCATGTTGCACTTAAGAACTATGGCGCATCACGAGTGAGTCCACCGACCGCTTGCAGCCTCTAGGCACACTTCGTAGAATGCGCAGACATACTGACTTTTTGAGCCATAGAACATTATCGAAGCGCTACTCAAGAGCGGCGTAGACCCTGACGCGCGGAACCGACGAGGTGAGACGCCCCTGATGTGCTCGTCCAGTCCCAACGACGCCGAGAAGATCTGGGACCTGCTATTGGCAGCTGGAGCCGACATCAATGCCCGGGACAGGAAGGGTCACACCATCTTCTGGCGGCAGGTCAAGCAGGCGCCCAGGGCAAAGGATGATGTGCGCTTCCTCCTGGACCACGGAGCCTCGCCCTTTGTAAGGGACTTGCAAGGGAGGACGTGTTTGCACGAAGCTATCAAAAGGCGTGATTCTACCTCTAACCATAGTTCTGTCAGCCCTGAGAGCACTTGGCGCCTGGATTTCCTGCTGGAGATTGGCCTCGACCACACTGCGGTTGACAAGAACGGGAATTCGCTCCTCCACGAGCTTGCCGCCCGAGAGGGAGACAAGGACGCCTACGGGCGTGACTGGGTGCTGCCACTCTGGAAGCGGCTCGTTAACGACTTGAAGCTGGATGTTGATCAACAGAATGTAAGCGTGACGCCTTTCATCGTGTTTAAACCCTGCTCGATCGGGGCGATGACTGGACATATACATACATATATATAGAGCTATGCTAACGCGGAAGCAAACACAACACAGTCCATGGGTCGCACGCCTCTCCATATCCTGTGCGATGCGTTTCCTGGGGATGCTGAACGGTATACCCGAGATCCTGAGCCCATCGACTTCCTCCTCGCGCAGATGAAGGACGTCCACGCCATGGATGCTACTGGTATGACAGCGCTGCACGTCGCCGCCACCCGGACCGAGTACTGCACCTTGAAACTCTTGGAGGCAGGTCTCGATCCTCGAGCCATTACGAATGCAGGTGCCACACCGCTGCATCTTGCTGCCCGGGCGGAACAGAGCAACATTGTCGGGATATTGGTGCGTGCTCTTGAAGACGGACAAGGTCAAATCCAAGGTATCAATGCTAAGGATGCGGCTGGACTCACTCCGCTCTACCATGCCGTTCGAAGTGGTAGGCACGAGACTGTGATGATTCTCCTCTCAGCAGGCGCGGATCCGAACGCTGGCTGCGATCTCTTCAAGGCCTGTGGTGAGTTCGAGCAAGAAAATGCGCGTCTCACAGTGGTCAATGACATTTACTACGACCCGTTGACTCTGCGGGAGTCCGAAAGAGAGGTCTCGGCCAGAGAAGCGAGACTGCACTCTACCAGTTTTCCCCGGGCGAAGGTGTCTTCTCTGGATACCAGGAGGCTGGAAGAGATCGTGAAACTGCTGATACAATTTGGAGCCGACGCATCCAGAATCGCCAAGAGCGACAGCAACTCCCACAGTGTCGTTGGTGACTGTGTGTGGCAAGGCAAGGCATACACGGCCAGCTGTCTTATAGACAATGTCCCGACGTCGCTTTGGGTCGAGGAGGGCAAGATAGCACCCTACTCAAACTTCCTTTCTATCAGCGCCGCCGCGTACGATCCTTCACTTGCCAAGTCGGACAGTTTCCCTTCGGTTGGGCCTGATCACAAGCGCTCTATACACTTTGACCTCTTCATCAAGTAAGGAACTGCCCCCTTCCGTATCTTTCACTTTGCCGCCCTTCCTTGTTCTAGCTGACAGACAAAAGACAAAAGCAATACCAGCTTGTGAAGGAGCTTGCCAAGCGCGGCACCAGATTTCTCCCAGATCCTCGTGACGAATTCAACTTTAGTCACTTCTCGGTGCTGATCGAGCATGGTTTCTACCTACTGGTGAAGAAAATTGGCGCCATCGAGGCAAAGCGCGCCCTCGACAAGGGCGACTGGCACGCCTTCGGCGACAGGTCCAAGCCGGGCTTGTGGTGCGCATACCAGGCGGCGGACGAGGACAAGTCTGATCGCGGAGGACGCTTCATTTCTGAGAGCATGCCGAAGCCTTTCCTACTGCTTGAAGCAGTCCAGCGTTCCTTTCTCAACATTGAGATCGTGAAGTCGCTCGTAGAGAACTTTCACGTCGACGTCAACGAGAGAGCTTGGGAACGCGACTATTCCGACAACCGGTCAGGATTCACACATGGTGACTCCGCCCTTCACCACGTCTCACGAGGCTTCCATTGGTGGCATGTTCACTTCGCAATGAAGTATCTCCTCACAGTCCAGGGAATTCTTGTCGACCTCCGCGGTAAGGACGGTCTCACGCCTCTCCATGTGGCAGCTGGGGGTGGCAGGTACTGCAGCAAGCCTGCACCGCATGCTCGCGACGCAGCAAGGCGTCTTCTCAAGGCTGGTGCGGACATTCACGCCCTGACCAATCGTGGTGAGAGCTGTCTTAGCCTGGCTGCGCATGACATCCAGATGGTGTGTCTCTTGTTGGAGCACGGCGCTATCGCGTCCCCTGATGACCTTGCGTCGGCCATCGAAGCTGGCCGGATAGATGTTCTCCAAAAGCTCCTAGACGCAGGGCGTGGTACTGGTGAAGAGCGTTCAGACTTGGACCTCAGTTTAGCCCTTCGTACAGCAGGACAGCTGTTCATGAAGTACGATCCCAGTGATCAAGACGACGATGTCTGGAGGCCTACGGTCGACAACCAGATCGCCATTCGGATGATTGAAATGCTCATCAAACATGGAGCAAACCCCTTGTGCCACTATGTGTACTGTTCAGAGGAGGAGTACGACGTTCCGAGGCTACGCTGGCGCCCTCACATCCACTTCAACGATGACCTTCCGCTCGCTTGCCCGAGTACGGAGCATCAGGAGGTGTCCTTGCTCCACGAGCTAATTCGTACAGTTAGAGACTTCCAAATTCGACCGTTTCTTGTCCCTGGCCTTGATATCAACCACAGAGATCCGTTTGGACGGACCATTCTACATGAAGTCTGCCAGAAAGTTGACTTGCTCAACAAACCCTACAGCCAGCCTCAACAGTCCACGGCTACTGTCCAAGACGAGAGCCAAGATCACGAAACTACTTTCCAGCGCCTGGTGGCACTCAGTGCCGATGCCACCGCGCTTGATCAACGTGGCCAGAGCGCTCTTGTGTCCCTCATCCGTGCCAGCGGCTGGTCCGCCGCACCGACTTCAGGCGAGAGAAACGCACTGGAGGTTCTACTCCGCCTGGCGCCTGAGCTCGTACACGTTGCTGATTCCTGCGGCGATACTCCGCTGATACACGCTGCACGAGCGGCGACCCGTCCTGCAGCTAACACGGAGATCATCAAGCACCTTCTTGCAGCGGGCGCTTCCCCTCTTGTGACAAACAAAAACGGCGAGAATGTGCTGCACATGCTAGCAGAAGATCTCGGCACGGCAGGCCTCCGCGGGATCTTCCGCGAGCTCGTCGACCGCGGCGCCGACATCAACCAGCGCAGCAACACAGGAGAGACGCCGCTGTTCAGGTTCGCCCACCGGTGCCCGCAGGACGCCGATCGTCACTACGATCCAGACTGGAGCAAGAGACGCGTCAGGGGCGACGAGTACGAGGAGCCGCGGGAACAGGGGGCCATCGCTCTGCTGCAGGAGCTCGGCGCCGACTTCGCAGCGAGGGATAACGAGGGACGAGGCCTGCTGCATGTGGCAGCGGCGGATGGAGGGGATGCGGTTCGGTACCAGGAGCTCATGGCTGCGGGTTTGGATCCGATGTTGGAGAACAAAGCGCAGCAGACGGCGATTGATGTGGCAGCGGCGCATTCGAACACTGCGATACTTGAGATCTTTGAGAAGAAGGCCAGGAGGTAGATTGTTCCCCCGAAGGCTGAGCTTCTGATGACGAGCAGAGTAGAGCAGAGCAGAGAGACCATCGCGCGAGAATTCAAGGAAATTAGGCTTCATCTCCATGAGAGATCACAACCGTAAAAGCAACATGCCAGACGGGTTCCATGGATGTACTAATTTGATCAGTTTCTCTCACTCTAAATATAATCAACGGCCGCATCCAAAGATCGTCCACCATCAGTATACCATCAACCTTGATGATCAGATGCTCGCATTATCCTGAAGAGCAAAGGCTTCTTTTTTTGTCTCTTGTAGTATTGGGCTTTTCAATTCTTCGACTACATCAAGCCAGCAGAGACTAAAGACATCAAGATTTGGGACACTCAGCTGGTGCAATGTTGTCCAAATAGCCATGTTCGAGCTGATCTATCATGACTTTTAGCAATTAGAGAAGAATGATGTCCTGCAAATCAAGGGCTTCGTCAGGCGCTTCCGACGTCATAACTTCTCCAAACATGATATTTTGTACACTGGCGTCACCAACAAACGTGAACATCATGGGCTCTTGGCCATCCGTCCCGTGGCTCACATTCCGCAGGACGTAGGGCACCCTTCCACCGGGAATCACAACTAGAGTATCCCCAGCTTCCATTGGTTCAGGTCCAAACCCAATAAACCCATTTTTAGCCACAAAAAAACGTCGTCCGGAGCTCGTGAAGCGAACCAAGTTATCGAATCCTCTCGCGTCATTCCTCGTTTCCAAGGGAAGTGATGCCGGCTCATCGTGTGTGAACCAGCTGGCCCATATGCCATAAGCTCTTTCCAGTTCATCATTTGACCAAGAATTAAGGGTCAAGTAGCCGCAGAGAAATATCCGGAACTCCTTGTCGCGTTGGGACAATTCTACGTCGCCATGTAAAGAACTTTCAATGCCATTTTTGGGCAAGCAAGCGAGTCGGCGCCACTCTTCCAAGACCATTCTCCCAGGAAGGGAACTCTCATCTCGCGGGTAGCCGGGAGCTATTTCGGAAATCTTAGATATGATCATAGCCTGTGTGCGAATCTTGCCTGGGGTTATGGCTCTCCATGAGGGCTTCGTCGGGCCTGAGGCTTGGAATTGGTCTATGAACTTCATCCGCTCCCCGTACATTAAATGAGAGGTTGCGTCCATTTCTGCGGTCCAGTCAGGCACCCAGCTCGGTAGCGTATGCATCCGTTGTTTGATGAAAGAACCTCGCAGCACATGACTAAGGACATTCAGGGATTCGGAGTTCTCAATCATCTTCAACGCGGTAGACTCGTACAGCTGAGCTTCAGGGATTTTGTAGTCGACTTCGATGTTCTTTCTTAAGGTTTCGTCTTTGAATTTTAGCCCAAGCATACCAAATATTCGATCGCGGGGATCCGAACAATCCCGAGTTCGGAACAGCGCCATGGCATCCAAGAGGTTATAGATTGAATATTCTTCCGGGTTTAACATATTATAGAGACTATCGAGGCGTAAAGTGGCGTGAAATATTGTCAATGAGTCGTGTATTTTGCTTGGAATATCCAAGTAGCCCCTGGCATTCCCATCGATTGCTCGCCGAGCCGCCCAGCAACAAGTTCTCTCGTGATGCACCAGGCTTTTGAAAGCAGCTTGAATCGTGCTACCCTCTAACCGGCGCTGTCCGCATTGAAACACAACTTCCTTAGCAAGCACATACTCTTGCACCGGCCAGATGCGTGTCCACCAAGGAGCGGCGAAGAAAGCGATGAAGGATTCCCGTAATTCTTCAGAAGCAACAGTCAGGCCCTCAACTGTGATACATAGAGAGAGTTCTGGGCTAAAGTGCTTCTCGGGGTTTAAAGCCACCTGCTCCAAGAACGTCATGCCAAAATTGAGCGGCTCGGATTCAAGCGACAAGAATACTCGGACGGACATTGCCAAGGAGTATACTTCGCGCATCAAGAGCACCTGCGCAGACCTTTCATCAATATCGTCTTGGTTTATGCATACGGCATCGATCCAAAAGAAGTCGGGACATTCGTCGAGTGACAGGCACTGAATTATGTCGTATAGATTGCGAGTTATACGGACAGGATGACCAGAGACTTGTACGTCGACTGTTTTCTCAACATCACCCCAGGCGTATGACAGAGCCACAAAGTTCGGTATCTGCGTCTGAGCCAAGCTCACCACATGGAATGATAAGCACAGTGGCTCCCCGGTAGGCGCAGTAGTCGATGATGACCAGCTCTCATGGTTTTCGTCAGAATGGGCAAGAGATGATATACGAAGAAGCCGTATTTCTCGGCTACGGAGCGTACTATAACCTGCCATGTCTGGTGTGAAGTGAACCCCGCGCTCGTCTCGATCAAATGATGTGCGTGCCAGAGTATCGCGTTTGGCTCTAGTGAGTTTCGGGAACTCAACGTCACATTTCTAGCCTCAGCCTAGTGCCTCTGTTTTCTATGTAACCCCGATAGTCCAATTTTCGTCCTCACACCCCATTTTGGATATCACGCCTGTTATACTAGATGATTGAGCATTTATCAACCACGTTAAATTTGGAGCATTTCCAGGGTCTCTTAGCAAGGGCCACTGAAAACTAACTCTTTGGTACCGTAAAACATTCCACAGGCGTCCACCTATAGTTATCGAGACGAAAGCAAAACCTCGATCAGAAAGACTCCGCAATGCCCAAATAGCCAACAAGATGTACAACATTCAAAAGAACGGCAATCGCCTTCCATAAATGCGCATCTTCCGCAGCACCTTAGAGTATCGTAGTGCTCACCTAAGGGGATTGACGGGAGTTTGCTCGATTCAAAGAACACCTCATTCGCCCTAGGATGAGAACCAGTCGAATATATCACGTCCGGCGATTCGACAGTCCAATTGCCTAATTAGTCACCCTCTACGAAGGTCGCACTGCGTAGGGACTTTTGTTCCAAGCAACAGCAGGACAATCTGAAGGGCGGTATATGGCCCAGCACCTATTCCAGTTAAGGTATCTTCCAACAGCTATCTTTCATTCTCAATCTGGACAGGATCTTGCAGTTGTTTCGGAAGGCGATATGGCTTATTTTTTTGGCCGTGTTTAAGATGGTTGACGTGCTGGACAAGTAAGCGTGTGTGTCCTGTGGGCTCATCTCACATTTGTGTGGGCGAGATGTGAACCTGATTTATCATTTTGTTCAGCTTCAAGGGGCAAGCTGGCTGTTTGATGCCCAACATTGCCTGATCCATGACTTGGCTACAGGCCAATGTATCTTTCTCTTGCCGGTCACAAATTGCCGCTTGAGTTCGCGTAAATCCATGCTAGAGGGCCGCTGTAATTAGCAGCTCTTATTACTCAGGGCGAGATATAAGCAGTCCCGTTCGTATGACCTGAAATTTCCAACTATTAGTTGCCTGCACTTAGCAGTCTCGGGGATTTCTTCTTCATTCTCCAGCGCCGCATATAGTTTCGTCATGATGGTCTTGGTCGTTTAGTGGAAGTTTGTTGGAGCCTATTGAGACTCCAGTGATGCGAACGGGAGCATATCATCAACTTCGTAACCAGAATAGGAATTAAACAATATCCCGCTTCTTCCTTCCCGTACTTTGTGCCGTTGGCGAATAAGCCTTACGCGAGGTGCAGAATAAATTTACGCAATCATCTAACTTCGAGTCGGGGGGTGCCTAAGGAGAGGTTCTGGTCCGGATCCTGCGCAGGCTTTTTTTGTAGGCCAATAGTAATCTCACAAAGAGCAACAGCTAAAGAATGGTTGTTGAGTGATTCCTGGGCGGATCACTGAACAAATGACACAGCCGATGGACCGAGCCACACGCCTATCAGAATTTCGTGGAGGGGGCTGAATGATCACTCACAGAATTATTATTGTAGCGCAAAGTCGCAGACCGTACACAGATTATTGCATAGGCAGCGGGTCCTCATGCAGGAAATCCTAATCAAGGCTGATAGCGCATCCAGACAGATGGTACCCTGTCTCCAGATAGATCCCTGTCTCCAGACAGATGGTGCTCTGTCTCCAGATAGATGGTCTCCTGATAGATCCCTGTCTCCAGATAGATGGTCTCCAGATGGATCCCTGTCTCCAGACAGATGGTGTCCTGTCTCCGGGCAGATGGTACTCTGTCAGGCAACGTCAGCCAAAGTGGGAAACATAGGAGAGCACATGTTGCTTGTCCACCGCTTAAGCCTCAGGATACTGTCCATTATGCCGGAACAAGTGCACCACTGAGGTGCACGTGTCCCTTCAAACCTTACCTACCATGCCCACCGGAGATCGTAAGCGGTTAAGCAGCCACTCTCCTCTGTTGCTCAGTTCAATAATTTGTAGCTGTACTATTTTCTCTGTATACACTCCACTCCAAGACTACCAAACCATCACAATTGTGAGCGTGAAAATCTTACTCGCCCGTCACTTGCCCCACTCTGCAAGGAAAAACGAGAGTCTGTACTGCTTCATTTATTGGCACAGCATAGAATATGGCAGGCTTAAAGATCCGATCTCCTCGATGTTCACATCAATTTACAGCAGTGTTCAATACTCCTCTGTTTCGTATATAGCATTGCCTCTATCACTACTATTCGATTCAGCGCCAGTTATCTGCGCTTCAACAGAATTACCTTGTACGACAGGATGAGCTACGCACTCCATCGAGGGCTTGATTCATATGAGGGAACCTCTGGGTGCAACGGTGCCGAAGGTTTTTTTTCAATCCTAGAGGGTGAGCCCCTATGCTACTCTCAGCAGAATACAGTCTTCTCCATCCCTAGCAACGATGGAGGCAACCAAGATGAATCTAGGCAGGCACAAGTTCCACCAAGCTTAGCAAGACAACCTCAGCACGGCTTGAGTGCCGAATCACCCTCACTCAGCTGCCCCTTCTACAAATATGCTCCAATGAGACACTGGCGATGTTACCGCAAATATACATTCAAACGCGCCTCTGACGTTAAGTTTCATATTCAGCGAGTGCATCTAGTAGGCGAGCACTACTGCGTCATTTGCTTCAAAGAATTCGACAATGCGCAGCAATTGCAAGACCATAACCACATTCCCGACTTTTGCTGCCTACCCCTGCAAGGGCCAGAGCGCCTTTTTCAAGAGACGTTCGACGAGCTTGCGCGAGCGATGGCCCATGTACGTGGATCGAGTGACGCCGATAAGTGGTATGTGATGTATAGACACATCTTCCCCAACGCCTCTGTCCCTACGTCCCCGTACGTGAGCTTGACTTTCGACGAGCCGTTGGCGATCATGCGTGAACATGCATTATACCACGAGCGGCTGTACGGTGGCTTGATGGCAGAACTACGTCGACATGGCATTCCACTCGGAGGCATTCATCTCCCTTCTCTGCAAGATGGCCTGATCAACGCGGCGCTGCCCATGTTGGCAAATATGGTAACGCCTTCACCATACGAGCGACCAGTTCCTATCACCCGCACGACTTGGTATGACGACAACCTCGGAGCCTTATAATTTTACAAGGGTGGATATTGCCTCATGTTGCGCCTGACATCTTTCGCCTTTTCCATTCTCGTCGATCCCGTAGGGAGAGTCATTTTTTCTTGTTCCTTTTCCATGTCTTTGGTTTCACCGTCTGTTACTCCGGCAATTTTTTCTTTTGGGATTCCATCACTCGTCATTCATTTCTATTTCGTCCTTCTTTCCTTTGATTGTTACCTGGAATCGTTATCTCCATAATATATTTGTAGCTTTTCTACTCTTAATTGGCCATAGCGCGACTAAATATCACGTTTGCATCCTTTAAATCCAAGTCAAAGATATGTAGACGGCAATGCCTTACTGGAATATGCGCCCGTGATGATATGCTTGGCTCAGCCCAGCATTCACACTCGGTGCTTGCAATGTGGTAAATTGGATGGATAAGTAGGTAAGGTAGTCACTTATTGCCAGTACATTAGGCTTTCTGCCGATAACCCCGGGATATGTCGGAGAGATTGACTTTTGACTCTAGATATCAAATCATCGCGGAAGTTGTTGCTTGGTCTTATAAGGCATAGCCTGTCCGAACATCAATCTACTTAGTATTCATGGCTCCGTCAATGGCCTCATGATTGTTCGCGGATGTTACCCACTACGTCCGATGGTGGGGCCGGAGAAGCGGAATGACGGAAGCGAGGAACAACTCTGAGGTTGAGCATCGGCCATCCCCAAAAAAGAAGATCGACGCGTATTGAGCTTTTCTTGGAGCTGTTGGGAATTAGGGATAGGACTTCCTTTGGTCCCGGCGCTCGACCTGAATGGCAATGACAATAACCGTACTTTGGGCCAAACGGAACAAGGGCGTATGTCCGATCACACCGAAGTTGCAGCCACCACATGCAGGTGAATTATAGGTTGCTGTAGGACTTTACAGTCTTTTGATTAACTTTAGGAAATGAAGGATTACTTCAGACCGTAACTTTTCTCCTACGGCGGTCGGCGAATTTCTAGCAATGACATGAAATCGTGAACGAGCTACAGCCGGTGTGTTGAAGAGTCGCAATTAGACGCCAAACTTTGCATCCTGTCGTCATGGGATGGTAAAATCACGCTACTCTAGCTAACTTATCCATCAACTACCTGAGTAGTGGTCATTCAACGCATGGTGGCTTACACATCCCTCTTTGTCAGCGGAAAGATGCTGCCCGGAATTGCGGAGTTTCGGAGTCCCGGAGCGGATCTCTCTTGAAAACAACAACCACAATTAACTTAGAAGTGAGGTAGTTCACATCATTAAGTCTGCTGTGTATATATATGAACATGATATCCCACGATAGAACAAATACTCATCATCAAAAACTCAAGACATTCAGTTCATCATACCTTTCAATCTTCGCACGCCCACTACTCCTGTTTAAGATCCCACGACCTTCGGCCATCCGCATCAAGCTACTCTTCCAAATATCAATACAAACATCTGAACAATGGCCAAGACAGTCCTCATTACAGGTGCCTCTGGGTACATCGCAACTCATACAATTGACTCTTTTCTCCGCCAGGGCTACAACGTCCGTGGAACTGTCCGGTCCCAGAAATCAGCAGCAGAGGTTCTGAAGACACATGACAAGTATCCTGGGCAATTGACCACTGTCATTGTTCCAGATATCGCAGCCCCCAACGCGTTCGACGAGGCCGTTAAGGGTGTAGATGGCGTAAGTCACACAATACCTGGATACTTGTAACTTACAGCTAACAAATACAGGTCATCCATTTAGCCTCCCCATTCATCACAAATGCCGTTGATTTCGAGAAGGAGCTCTTCCAACCAGCCGTCAAGGGAACCACCAGTGTCTTGGAGTCCGCCCATAGATACAACCCTGACATCACTAGAATTGTCATCACCTCGTCCTTCGCCTCGGTCCTTGACCCAGCTCGGGGTACTCGCCCTGGCTACACGTACACCGAAGCAGACTGGAACCCAGTCACCCCTGAGACAGCTTCAGCCAATCCAGTTGTAGCATACCTCGCCTCCAAGACCTTTGCAGAGAAAGCTGCATGGGACTTCGTCAGGGATAACAAGGTACGTCAGAAATACGTTCCCTGTGCCTGAATTACCATGCTGACCTTCTGAGCAGCCAAACTTTGATATCACCACTCTTTTGCCTCCTATGGTCTATGGCCCAGCCGACCAACATGTCGAGGACGCTACCAAGCTGAACACCTCTGCAGCGGATATCTACAGACTCATGGATGGTTCTGAGAAAGAAGTTCCCGATACATCTTTCTGGGCATTTGCCAATGTCCGTGACCGTACGTCGCTAGTCTTCCCTACTCTTGTTGCTTTTGCTAACTAGTAACCTTCAGTCGCCGAGGCTCATGTGAGAGCATTCGAGAGGCCCGAGGCAGCTGGCCAACGCTACCTGATCACCAGCTCCGCCTACAGCTACCAAAATGTTGTAGACATCATTCGTGAAAAGTTCCCAGAGCTACGTGAGAAGACTCCCAAAGGCAACACCGGAGCTCCTCTCCCCCCTGTCTACCGTCTTGACACATCTAAGGCCGTTAAGGAGCTTGGCATGACATTTCGAACTCTGGAGGAGACGATTGTGGACACTGTAAACAGCTTTGCAAAGCTGCAACAATAGGTGTCAGCTATGAAAAATACGACGGTTTTGAAGTCTCTTTCGTTTATTCGATTGCTAGATGTTCTTTCACTTATAGACAGCCATCATATGCTTTATAGAATAATATTCACGTTTATATGTAACATTTTTATCACACCTCCGTTGGTTTGAGTTTTTGACTGGGATGGCCCAGGAGTAAGTAATTGTATACATTCTTGTCATTTAGTCATAGGGCACCACACTATGAGCATAATCAAGCAAGCAATAGGCATGCTTGGTCAAGTTATTTACATCTTGAAGGCATAGCTACATGGGCCTGGTGAACAACTTGCATTCGAGGCTAAATCTTATAAACAAGACATCCATTACAGACTAACTTAGTCTTTAATCTCAATTCACATCAAAAGACAAAAACAAAAGCAACAGCAACAGCCAAGATGCCACCGAGTCCGACGGACAACTGAGGAGCACCTGAGCCACCCCCATTAACCCCCTTGTTCCTGGGCACATCTGTCGAGTTGGCTCGCTCCCACGTTGAGTTGTAGGAATAGCCCGGGTTGCTCAACAGAGTCACGTTACTGCTGGAGCCGGGAGCGTTGGTTGAGCCAGGGACACAAGCCGACATGTCACCACCCGCTACCTTTGCCGCGGTGCGCCACAACACTCTGATATCATGGGCTGTGTCAAAAGTATGGAACAGGCGGCAATCGGAGGCTTGGTATGTGAATTGAAGGGGCGCGTCCCGATCAGAAACACGTATCATGTCAAGAGCATTGACGCCGCCTTCGATGCTGAGAGGCGATGTGCTGATTGGGCGTGGCAGGGCTTGGACGTCGTCCACCGAGACGCCCCATCTCCTCAACGAGGCAGAAGCCTGGTCTCCGAGGCTGTTCAATACGTTGTTGATGGTCTCCATTAAGCCGCTATAGTACACGAACGGCAGGAAACTACTCCCCCTGGTGCCGGAAACGCCCTGCATGGGTCCATATTGGGGGATGCCACCAACGGCGACGGACTTGACGCCAGCATCTGTCTTCATGAGCTCCGAGAAGATGGCACATGTGCTGGCGCATAGACCGTCGTGAAGGAGGATGATGTCTTCAGCGGCCCACGGTTCGGATTGGGGCCACATGATATCCGAGCCGTGGCCCGGAATCGCGAAGTCAAGGTAGTGTTTAAAGAGGGGGCTCGACAGGTTATATCGAGCTCCGTTTGTAAAACTGTCGTCGTTGTTCTCGCGTGGCCCAAAAAAGGCACTCCATGACACATAATCTACACCATCCGGGTCCAAGATGTCGTAGGCAGAAATGCCTATGGTTCCACCATAGTCAATGTAAATATGCTGCAACTCATCACTTGGAAGAGTACCCTCTTGCAGCACTCCAGTCAGGATCGAGCCAATAGTGTTAATGTGAGGGGTGGCTCGAACCCGCCCAAGCACCGAGGGCTCAATGGAGGGGAAGAAGAGCTTGAAGATGGTATAGCCGAGGTAAATCATGCCACCTCCGTTTCCTGAAAGATCAATGACAATCTTCTTCACCCTGTTCTCCTTCGCTTTTGTGATAAAATCAACGACGGCATCCCTATAATTCAGGGCAGTAGTCCTTGTAGCTGGCTTGCCATGGTCATAACTGGGCAAACTGAGAACACCAATAGAATCGTCCTGCAGAATGTAACCGGAAACAGTACCCCCTATTCCGAAGTTCACCTCGAGGACGTCAGGATTCCCGGGGTAGTTGAACAGTGGCACGCTAGGGAGAGGTTTGACTGTTTTGCTGTTGGCGTTCATCAAGGGCTACCGGCTCCAATCTGTCGCGGTCGATGAGTTCGTCAGATGTTGTCGAAGAGAGTTTCGGACTTGCAATTATTCCGTTGTATATATTTTCAGGGCTTGTCAGGTTCTTGGCAAGCAAATTGTATCCCGAACCCGCGCTGTATATCCATTCGATATCACTCCCATTCGCGAATTTCACCTGGAGGCTCTTTCCTTTGTAGATGTTCGTCTTTTGAAAATTTGCAAATGCCCATGACTGTTTGATATCAAGGCCAAAACTAGCAAAAATATAGGGGCCGTTGTATACCATCGCGTTCCAGTCGGCGTGGGGTTCAATAAAACCGCTCTGGGTATTTCGTTCGATGTAACTGCGGAGATATTCGAAGACAGGTTCCCCACCGAGCTCAATAATTGGGGAAGGGTTTGACATTAAGCTCTCAATGTCGGAACGTGCATAGACTTGAGGCAATTCTTTGCCATCTCTAGAGAGAGAAACAATGGTGTCGCTAAGAAACCAGGAGAACAATCCAAGGAGCTTCAGGTCAATACTGAAATGGCCCTCACTCGACTCCGAAGTGATAGCCCAGATGTCCATTTCAAATTCTACGTAGCTATTGTATTCTCCATTCCTAATGTTATCGGCAACTGAATCTAGGCGGGCCATGATGTCGATGCCGGGCTTTTGATACGATGGCGGCGGCTTCTTGAGGAAAGATAATGTAGTGTCGAAGTTGGAGTAGTTCTTGAGATAATCAATTGTCCCCAACGCGTCCTCTGGTATAAGTGGCACAGAGGTGCTGCAATTATATGCCATCTCAGCGTCAAGCTTGACAAACTGTATATCAAGCGGGTAGGGCCATTGACTCTGGCCAATAACACTGCTCTGGTACTCTGCGAGCAGTTGGCAAGGACCTTTCGTCGTACTCTGTGCGGCGACGCCCGGCAGAAAGAGGCTGGCGATGGCAGCCAGCCCGGAAAAGGGTGTCCACAACGCATCGTGGTCGGCGAGAACAAGCTCAAGGATGATGAGGAGAAGTGAAGCGGACAATATTTGCAGGTCGAAATAGACTGAACTTATAGGTCATTCTGATATGCCTCGATCTGAAAGCTGAACTCCCAATAAACATAAATAGAAATCGTTGCACAACATTCCCCCGGACATGATTCAGTTACCCACACGTGATTAGCCTTAACATACTGCAACTTAGCCCGACACCCAAGAAATCAGCCCTGGCATTAAAGACGTTCCACCCTAGTGGCTTGTCGTTCTTTGTTATATCTCCAAAATCAGCCTCGCGCCGTCCCAAGCTTGGATGCCTATTACCTAAAGCGAATACTGGAAACCATAAGTGTCAATCGAGTCCTACAAAATGGGTGTCGAGAGCAAGCGTGCCGCTCCTGCTGGTCCATCCCAAGATACTCTCCACGCAGCCAAGCAAATGGGGCGCCTAGATGATCGCTGCCAGCCAAGCAGACGAGAGCCAGGATAACAATATACATTTGATGAGGAAGAATAAGTGCCCATCTCTGAATACCCTGTTACCAACTTGGTACCTAACAAGGGTTGAACGCAATCTCTACATATTGGGTTCAAAACCAGCGCCACGGCTGTCCTTGGACCTTGACGCCATGGAAGGTGGCTGGGGGTGCTTGACATAACGATCACAGCCGCTGGCCGTTATTGTTGTTGGCCAATATGGGAGCGTGAGAACTTCCAGGCCATCGAGGGCATCGCTATTTATGGAATAGTCAAACAAGATTTAAGGCTGAGAATCATGGTTTGACGACCAAATGCACCGCCAGGAGTCCAGACTGACCGAAATGTAGTTGAATACGCGCTAAGAAGGTTGAGCTGAAACCGTTTGGGAGAATGTGGGGTTAAGGTTTCCTTGGAGCCTTGTTGGTGGTGGGATCAGTGCCAACGGATCCAACTATATCAGATAGTGGTGGACTTATCCTGTTGGTTGTGAAGCTGGGCGCTATGATGACGGATCCGAGCGGAACAGACTGGGCGGCGACTCCGGCTGTTGTCAGGTAGCCTTGCCCATACCTGAGACTACCTTATAGAAAGGGGTGATCAACAGTGTTCAGCCAAGGAAGGCGCTCCAAACCCACATAGATAAACATAATAGGCACAAAGTTTAGTCTTTAATTCATTTTACGCCATGAACCAGGAAGTATACAAAGCATCAGAAATCGTCCATATGGGTCTATTTTTACCCGGGAAATTTGAAAGTCAGCTCAAAAGATAGCACATAGGCAGACCTCGGTCCGTCGTGGGTTATTTCCTTTTCCAAGAGGTATACAACCACTCTATCAGGGAATCAAACAGGACAACGTATTATAAGCAACCTCTTAGAATCTCATAGACTCTGCATATCCCGTCTCTCCCTGGTCGTAGCTGATCGTCAGCTGGTAATCCCTCCCAAGTAGACCAATGCCAGGCAACAATAGATAAGAATACCTGGTTTAGTAATCCCATATACTTGGATATTATCTAGGCTTCCCTGACTCAATACAAGTTTTCCAATAAGCCTCCTATCCGCCTAGTCCCTATGATCATTTGCCTCGAGAGACTATGAGGTCCCCAATAGTAAGGCATCTTGAAAAATAAAAATAACCAACCATATGATTCATATTTCTTTTGCCATAAGAAAGCGAGGTCCCGAGACTAGGCTACGTATATGACTTGCATTACAACAGAGGTAGGTATTGCACATTTGCCCTTAAGCTAAATCGTCCATCCCACAATCTTCGCACTTCATGATTCCCCAGCCAATATCAGTGCAAATACGCTTAAAAAGCCCACCGCACGTCATTGGAATCCCTTCTCACTTTTAGGGCTACGACAGGAGGCTAGTTAAGATTGCCAATTGATGGGAATTATCGCAAGGGATAGTGATAAGTGAAGTCAGTCGAGGCTGCAAGTTGTGCTTGACTCACCTTATGCTTAGGTTAATAGACTATTCCCTCGAGGTTCATGAGCAGCCGTTGAAATAGAAAGCTGAATGCAATCTTTGCTTGTACACATGGCTTCCTATTGAATGCATAAGTACAACCTGTGGTCACTGGCCATACACGAGAAGATAGAGCGGCAGGGGGCTAGAAGAACTAGCACAGCCTTTCCCTACGCTGGAGGAAGAAAGAGAGTCACCGAGGCTCAATTTGCCTGTGTTAAAGGAATAAATGGAAAGTAAAAGAAAAGAGGACATACCAACCAGCCTTACAAAGCATCCTTTATATCATCTGAAACCACCCAAACAAACACCATCCACCCCTCCAAGACATCTAAACATGCCGGGCAGCAAGATAAAAATGGCATCGTACCCAAAACATTCGATTGCAATTGAGGCGGAGCAAGGCAAGTGGACATGACCTCCGAAGCGTGGGGCACCCACCATCTCATAAGCTTATCCCATTTCTGCTCGCTTACGATGGTGCTATACGCGCTTGTGGCTTCGCCTGCAGCTACTTGCTTTGCGGAGTGGCGCATCGCGATATGACTGGCTATGTGCAGTTAGATCGGCTGCATTGATGGGGCGATGGTCAGCAGAGAACACGTCAAAGGTCCCAAATAAAGAAACTATGACCGCAAGAGCGTGATGTTTATGCCCCCTCACTCCTTGGCTAGGAAATTTTATCAACGATCTGCAACAGAATAGGTCCAAAAGCGCGAAAGCTCTTACTGTCCATGCGAGTCTTATGCTGTAGATGCCCCTAGAGGAAGCGGCTGGCATCAGACGAGCAGCTACGAAGTTTGGGGGCCATGAGATAGCTATTAACCAAAAATAACTCAACCAGAATCGTAGATGCTCTCAAAATGTATACTGAGAAAAATCTATATAAGTTGGCTCTGCTTCATTGAATATGGCTCTCATCATCAACCACTTCAACTCTTATTTCCTATCTCAATCTCCTTACTTTTCACATCTTCACAGTTTCAATTCCTTATAGCTTCTGCGGGCAGAACTCAACTTCAAACATCTTTCAGTCATCATTCAAAATGCATTCTTCCAGCCTTCTCTTCGTTGCCGGCTTGCTCGGCGCAGCCGCTGCCCAGTCACACTATGACACCCGCTCCCTTGACATCACCAACGACATCTGGGAGCGCGGTCTCGCTGAAGAAGCCCTTGACCTGGAAACCCGTGGCTTCAAGACTGGCGTCGCCAAGGCCCTGAACAAAATCAAGGGCGGCCCTCCCATCGCCAAGTCGATTGATCGCAAGCCCGCCAAAGTCCACAACAAACTGCAAAAGAAGCCTCCAGCCGCAAAGGCTCCCAAGGTCCCCAAGACCCACAACAAGCTCCAGAAGAAGCCCGCCAAGAACATTGGCAAGAACTTCCGTCGTGATCTCGATGACGATGCGATTGCTCAATTCGTGAGAGATCTCGAGGAAGCTGGGCTCGAGATCCGTGAGCCTAAGAGGTCTCATTCCAAGGGCAGGAAGCACAGGAAGAGGCCTCACCACAGCAAGTCGCGCAAGCTGCGCAGAAAGCACAAGAAGGTCCATGCCGAGGAGTCCGAGTAGATTCCAGAGGCTGGTGCTAAGAGCATGATGAAGCTTACATTGCTCAGCCACGAGCCGACCAACGCCATTGAGCATCATAAGATTTTAGGCAGCTGAACCCGACCTTCTTTTGCCTATTTTTATTCATTTTGTCAATTGGATATACCTAGTTTATGTTTTAGAGCAAATGAAGGATACATTCGTTATTGTTAACTTTCCGCCCGTGTGTCGCATGATAATCTCAGGTGTTTCCCCTCCCTCCTATTTAGACTTGCCCTCCACCACTTAGCCCTCATCTATCCAGAGAGCCAGCCGCTCATATGAGGGTGGAAATTATTTAATTTGTAAATTTCGGTACATTAGTCAGGGCAAATTTCCTGACGCAGTTCATCGGGTTCATCTCTTAACTACCTACCCTAGACACGGTTTTCCAACCAACAAAGTTTCACACCCCATTGATGAGCGGATTAAATGCGCTACGAACAAGGAATAATTATGATACTTATAACATTATTATGTACCTTATTTCGTTTATATCTATTTTCATTAAAGACTTACAGCATTCTCATTTACAAATAGGTTGAATATAGCTAATAGGTTATATTGCATCATAGCCACACGTGCATTTTAGAATGCACTCTCATTTGCAACGAGCTAGTCAGCCCTCAACAAGGGAACTCTGAAGGGACAATAACACGCAGTAAGTTTCCCATTCTCATGAAGACGTATTCTTCGATTTTACCACCACAAACTACGTTCAGGGGTAGCAATAGACGCCAGAAGCTAGATTGAAAAGCAAACATATCACGTCTAAGAGTTTAAACTTCTCAAAGTATGATAATTCATTACCAGGTTAAATTGATCTGTAAATCAGAAGTGAAACCAAGGCTGACCACTATTTCTGATTCTTAACGGAGATTGCCGAGAGAGTTGGATGACATGCTGGACTAAGTCCTAGTCAAGTCTTGGCCGGCTGACAACCACGCCCATCTTATTTTGCCCTTCTTGACTAAGGAGTTTGGCCCTTAACTTGGAAGAGAGCTTATTGATACTCGAAGGAACTTACAGTTAAGTCGAGGAAGGCTGGTGGAACTCAATCAGCATCAGCGGAATAGCATATCTAAGAGTAGGATAACAACCCCTGTCCAAGCTAGGCCACAACCCCAGCAAGTTTGGATCGAAGATGCGACCAAGCTACAGTGCACGTTTCAGAGTTATCCTGTGCATTCGGCACTGTGCCTGCTTAATAAACCGTTGATAAGCCTGACGTTTTATCCCAGACGTGGCACGCGTTCCCCCACCCTCGCCGCTTACAGACATGCATATCTGGAGACCATTGACTTGTAATGGTTGGCATTCCCAGAACAAAAGCATGCAAGAATTGCAAACGCCGGAGAGTGAAGGTAAGCCATGAATTCAGCACCCGAAACTCTTGAACTACTCTAGCAACGGACTAAATAACACTGGTGTTGTTGTGAGTGTGATGAGAATTGGCCGACATGCTCACAATGCAGGCGATCTAAAACCCCCTGCCCAGGCCCAACGACAACGAGGATCAGATTCGTGAGCCACAATGTTCCTGAGTCAGCAAAGCAGAGTGACACCTTGGAGGAGGAGCCCTCATCCACCACTGCCAAGGCCGAGCAGAGAGTGAAAAGAAGTGTAATCAAGAGGTTTGTCATGGTCAACCCGTCACCTCGGACACCGCCAGTCGCTCCAGTCGATCACCTGTCGTCTTGCCTGGTCACCTTACTGGAATATGGCCCGGAGGGAGGCACTTTTCTTCAGAAGAGCCCGATCCGCTATATCCCCCGGCGTTTGTCTCGGAGTAACCCCGTTGTGGTGGACATGATCTCTCTGTTTTGCTCTGTTTGGACAGATCACTGTCACCAACAACCGCCGAGTCAGGTCACGTCCCGACGCTACGATATAGCGCTTCGGGGCTTACAGAACGCCATTCAGAAACTGCCCAAGGGACGTGCAGATAGGGCTCAGATGATTGACACGTTGACTGCCATAACGCTACTGCAGAAGACGCAGCCGTTATTAAGTAGAGAGGCCGATCCCAGTTGGGGAGTGCATGCTGTGGCCATCAAGCATATGATGATTGAGATGGGACCGCCGGAAACAGACGACTCATTTGAGGCGGCTTTGGTCAAGGAAAATCGTTCTCTCTTGGTTCGTTAATATTCAACCTATTTCACGTGCAAGTTCTCAGCTGACAACTAAATGTAGATACGGAATCGGCTTGCCGGGGGCCCTGAAGTAGACTTCTTGAATGAGTCGCCCTGGAAAGAAGCCATGGTACGGCTTGGCACAGAAGATTGGCTCGTTGATGAGCTGGAGCCTTTTGGTTCCGAGGATTGCCTCAAGCTCGAACTCCGGACCCCAAGAATGCAGGACTGGGTAGACTACATTGGTCGCATCCGCGCTGAAGGCCCATTCACAGAGGAGATGAGAGACCTGTCCGCCATCGTGATACATGAGATGCTGGAACACGCTGATCTTTTGCGCCGTACAATCGGAGTTACCACCAAAGCGCTGCTGGCGCGTGGGACCATGGTTGTCAAAACAGACCCCAACGAGTCGGTTGCGTTCATGCGCAAGAGTTACTCATTCACGCACGCCTCGGCTGCGGCGATGCTTTGTAACCTCGTTTCTGTCCAGGTCATCGTTCTTCGGTCGTTGTATGAGTTTAGCGTCATGTACGACGAGGTGCCTGACGAAACACTATATAAGGAGTACCGAGACATCTGTGGCCACATTTGGATGGTTATCTCATACCTCCACACGCTGAAGCCTGTAACTGGTCTCGCGATGCTGGGGACAATTTCCGTCACATTCGAGGCGGCCGTTGGTGAAGAGAGGGAGAAGGTGATTGATATTGTGAACCACCTTGACAGCTATTTGTTACGATTTAACAAGGACAGGGAGAAAATATCGGAGTTTTTGTTACATGTTTGTAAAGCTGTGACGGGAAGAGTCCCCGTTCATGGCCACCTATCCTGGATTACCACATGAGACTACAAAAAATATGATTTTAATACTTTCCAATGCTGTTCTGGTCCCAGCTTTTGACATAGTAATGTATAGCCGATTGACAGGGTCACAGATAGGAAATTGAAGTAGCTATCATAACGGGCAAACATGTGCAAAAGGTATGTATATATATTTTAAGTTAAGAATTCTTTCACTGAGAGTTAAACCTTGCACCTTTTCCTAGACTGTCTATCAAAGATTCAAAATTGGATCGATTGGTCTACCCGCTTCCTCTTCTAACCAAGGATCACTGAGAAGTTCTGCAGCTGTCGGTCTCTCCTCCGGCAGCCAGGCTAGCATCCGGCGTACAAAGCTGATGAACTTGGCCTTATCACTCTCATTCACTATTGGGGTGAGTTTGTGCAAGTTGAAGCTCTCCCCTGGAATCAATTCGGGATACCTAAAAGAGCCTGGGAAATTGTCAGTCTGACATCCAACGCATTGCGTTACACCAAGATAACTTGCCTCTTTCATCGTAGAAGCGATTGTAGGTCTCTTTATCGACTTTGTCTAGTAATTGAGCAGGTGGTGGCCCAAGTAGACGGATCATTTGAGCGTAGCGTGTAAAGTGAGAGAATTCGGGTTGTCCGAGCCCGCGACCATCCAGAAGACTGGTATTAGAAACCAGTTCCCATAACTTCAACGCGTCAGTACTGCCATTTGTACTCTTCCATGAAGACATAACTTACTACCAGGCCGAGATTCCAAATATCGGCTGAGTAGGTCCACCCTGTCTTGAACAACACTTCGGGAGCGGTGTATTCGAGAGGCTGGATGTTGTGGAAATGGAGAGTTCCCGGCTTTTGATCACACACTGCCAATCCAAAGTCTGTAAGCTTGGCGATCTGGATGCCTCTCTTTAACCGCCCGAAATCGTGACGAGTCTCGTAAATGGGGCGACCTCGGCTCTCTTTCAGCATCGGGGGTGTCTTCTTTTGCTGCTGGAGATAGTCGTCTATAATTGACGTATCCTCAAATGGGATCATGAAGTGGTCGCTTTTCAGGTCTGCAATTTAAGCAAGTCAGAAAACAGCATCCTGGAAATGTGAGGATTTAGAATACCTGTATGAATCGTTCGGCATTCTGTATGTAGGAAATCCAAAGATTTGAGAATGCTGGGCACGATTGTCCTCAACACACGAGGAGGTAGGCGCCCATCGTGACCTAGCTGCCTGCCGACAGCGGATATCGGCTGGCGAAGGGCCTCGAATACTAGGCAGAGATGTTTGGCCTTGTTGGTCCCTTCGATCTCGAACGAATCAATCACTGGGCGGATGAGTTGACGACCAGGGTGAGAAGTTGATGCCGTGAGAACGTGCGTGGAAACCTCGATCTCTTGGGAAGCATTTTTCCGTGCAATTTCGGACGAATTGGCAATTTTCAATGCGACGTATTGGTGCGACTGAAAGAACCAGCCCCTTTGAGGGAGAAATTGCCATGTCAATTGGGGAAACGTTCATTGCTGCCACATTTAGAATCAATCGACATACCGCTTCGTTTCCCTCGCCAACCAAACGGTCGAAGTAGTTCCCCAGCCCAGCTTGGAGACCAATCGGTACTTCCCGCCGAGCTTCTCGCCAATGCGGGCTGGGTAGAAGATCTTCGGGTCATAGAACGGATATCTCTCCTCTTCCACGGGCGCATTGGAGTCCTGGCCGCGGTGCTTCGAGGATGGAATCGACGCGACTGACGCGTGAGACGTCACGGACAGGGATCTTCTGCCCCAGATGAGGGGTCGAGCCGTGCTCTGGGGAAGAAGAATTCTGCGACGCATTGGCCAAGGACTGCGGCACGCCTTGCCGCGCTCTCAGAAGGGTGTGTTTCCCCTGATCTGCCCGGTGATCTAGCTAATCTGCGACTGTACGGCCATTCGGCTGAGGTCGGAGCGAGAGATTGAGCTGCTGTGCTGACGGAGGATGATGTAACTGTAGGGATGCTCGTTGGTATGAGGACGGTTAAATCCGCCAATCGGGTGGACCATGATGATTCAGTAGAGAATTGCCGCCGGGAATATTGCAATGTAACTCTTCTCATAACAGGGTGAAAACTTGTGGGACTCTGGTGTTAATCTGAGTTGGCGCCTGTTTATGGTCAGTCAAATTGGAATTGAGATGAGTACAACCAGTCTTCGCTCGGCAACCAGTTTGGCAAGATGCGTGTGAATTCTTCATTCCCTGTCTATGGAAAATTATTGCGTAAATGCAGTCGTAATGTCATCTGCCTGTTTGTTCCATGTTCTGGTGTCGAACTCAGGCGTAAAGAAAATATATACATAAGAATTAGTTGTCTCGACGCCTCAAACTCCAATCCGTGACGTTTCTGTTGGCATGGAACCAAATGCGAGAAAAAAAATATGAAATAAATGTAAACGCCAAAAAAGAACACATAATCCCATCACCCGGTATATCCCCAGGCTAGATCTTGAGATCGTTGAGCGGATACGTGTATTCCGAAGCATCGACATAGTACTTCTTCTGGTTCAAGTGGAAGTAATTCTGCATATCAACCACGAAGGAGTCGTCGAGCTTCTCATACAGCTCTCGGGTAGGAAAATCCTTGTAGAACCAGTGATGGGCTACAAAGACACCGCCGCACTTCTTGTCCACGATGTAGTTTGCACCATTGCCGTCCATACAGGGGATGGGCACCAACTCCTTGCCCTTGCCGACCTCGTACTCATACCGAACGTGACGTCCGAATGCGGCCTGTTCATGTGCCCAATCGTAGGCCCAGTGCTTGCACTCGGGGTATCTCTCGCCCAGTGGACAGTTCTCCCAGCGCTCAAACATCTCCTGCGTGCGCTCGCTCTGCTGCGCTGTGATGAAGCCGGTGTTCCAGAGAACCCAGCCCTTGGAATCCTGGTTGACGGGCGAGTTGGGGTCCTCGGGCATGGCGACGAGCGTGTTGTTGTTGACGCCCCACATGCTCATGAGCCATTCGTAGGGCAGGCGATAGTATTGAAAGGTAGCGTCGGCATCCAGGAAGACAACGTAGTCGTGCGTCTTGAGGGCTTCTTTGATGAGCGAGACCTTGGACCAGGTCCCGTGGCGGTCGGCCATGGGAGGCGACTTGACCAGACGATAGTCATAACCGTGGATGAGGGCTGTACGTGTTAGCCGACTACATTCAGGAGATATATCATTCCAGGAACCTACCATAGAGGAAGTGGTTCAGCATTCCAGCTGTCCGTCCAGACATGATGTCATCGTTGAGAGGTGACGGCGTGAGCATGGAGTCAATCTCCTTCTCACTCACTCGGGAATCGGCATCGAGAATCAGCAGGCGCTGACCCAGAGGTTTGGTCCAACGATCAGTTCCATTCCGGATGGTGTAGTTGTACCCCTCAACGGTCATGAAAGTGTCGGCGTGCACGCTGTGGATGGTGGAATTGAATTTGGCCTGGACCTTCTTGAGGAAGTTGGTGGGATCTGAAACCGGAACCTCTACCTTTGGTGCTTTTGGCGGTGATGGCAATGGCGATGTCGGTGTAGTTGACGTGATAGAATCCCATATTGAGCTACATCTCGGATTAGTCTTCCCTCTTTGTTGTGTTGTTCACGCGGGGGGGGGGCCAAGCTTACTCTAGGCGTACACCGTCATGACGAAGGACAGACATGCGGTAGAGATTGGAGCAATAAAACATCAAAGCAGTCGCGAGAATAACAGCAATCGGAACGACAAATCGGTTTCGCCCAAACGACCTCCTCCCTCCCGTGAGGCGGCGCGGTAGTGAGACGCCCATGGCTAGGTGTTGAAAAGAGTGGCAGGCGCGAGGAATGCGCTCAGAAAGATGACCATGAAAGATAAAGAGCTTCAAAAGAGCTCGTGGGACATGGAGATGGGGACTATGGTGGGTATATCTTCCTCAGGACCTGGACCCCTGACCAGGCGGATGGACCCCAGTTGGGTCTGAAGCCTGCAATGTGCCTTGTCATAAGGGAACGGAGGGAACCCATTCATTCAGCGGACTCTCTTAGCCGCTGGATCGTGAAGATACCATTAATTGATGAACTACAGGGGTCACCAAGCTGATCACTGGCTCACCACAGGCAAAAGCGCTATCTGCCATGGCCTACGAATCGGCTCTAGCTGCCAGCCGCTACAGATTTAACTAGTATTCAATCTTCAGGCGGGGCGGTCTGGAATTGAAGATGCAGACCGAGAGTGACCGCGGTGTGGATGTGTTGAATGCGGGACAAGTGGTCGTAGCTTCTGGGCAATCTTGAACTAGCAGTGAGGGATAACTGGGAATGGGGACATGGATGACGAGGGAGAATTTGCCATCAAAGCCAATTTACTTAGCGAGCCGAGGGGTCGTGAGAAACCCTCAGGGTCGTGTTGGCGGATTGCTGACAGGCTTTGCTGAGATGGACAATTGCCAAGGACCGCCCTTGGTGGAGCACAGCCGAGTTAGCGTTATCATCTGTGATTCGTAAAACGCCTTGGCCTAAGGCTGATTGCGAAGAGGAGGAGGGGAGGGATGAGCTCTCGCTTGGCAACTAGGTCCGCCCACGATGAAGACCTCATGAGACAGTCGCTTCGACAGAATCTATCCCGCTCTCCCGCCACATTGACTCTTCACTCTCAGACAGCAGTCTCGAGTGAGCACTGGAGAAGGATGAGATGCCAAGAAGTGGATGTGGCGGGCAATAGCCTGGCAACTAATTTCAGGGGCATGAATATTGAGACCAACCAAGTCGAAAACCCCCACCTACCGAGCCCCTATCACAGCTCCAATCCTTTTATGGCGCACCGTTGGCCCCTCCCGTAGAAAACGATTTACTAGAGGGGAAGATAAGGGGGCTGTTGTGCGCACAATTGCAGTCTTAGGCTGGAGCCATGCCATTCAGCTCTGTTGGATGCAGTGGCACTCTCCCAAGGGAGGTAGGAGGAGCGAGAGTCTGGCAGCCAACTTAGCTCAAAAGTGCCACCGAGTGCGTCATTGCCCGGCGTAGTATCGTGATCTGCTAATTTACCAGGCG